ACCTGGAGGAGGCAGGTACCTACACGATGCATACTGCGAAAATAAGGCATAACAGAAAGACGTGATAGGGCAGCTCATGCTGGACGCATGTGATGTACCAATCCCATATCTTCATTGCGCATCGTGATTGACCGAAGATGCATCAACCTAAGCAGGGGTGCGCAAATCGGAGAAGGAATGAATGGGAAAAAAGCTGGCTGTCTCGGAACGAATGCGGAGCATCCAATGACCGTCCAAAGTAAGGACCCTCTGTACTCTAACCGTAGTAGCGGAACATAAGTGCGAGCCAGAATGGGGGCCACAATCTATGCTGGAGTGGGTGGGACGTAGTCGTCGACTTGAAATCTGGACCTGGAAAAAATCTCTGATTTGCTTTCTCGCGCCCATGTCGCAGGTCCTCCGGAATCCGGAGAAGGCTTCCGACCGACAGAAGAAAGTACTACTACGTTAGAACTCGAACTAGGACAGCACAAGTCTGTGGTGGGGATTGAGCAGCGTGATGGATGGCATCGCGCCGACTGCCAGGCTTGTAGTCGACCACTTCAAGAAGACATGCCCGGTCGGAACCTAATCTGGCGAATGCCCCGAGCGACTATTAAGTCAGTGCATTTGATCAGCGACTGACCCAAGATCTTGTCCCGCGGGATCTGGTTTAGTGTCGATTCGAATTGATTATTACCCGGATCTCCGAATGGGCGAGTGTCCTTGCGCTCAAATTTGAGCCAGTTCTGGTGCTGGGCGGAGTCGCTCTTCGTCCTGCCGGATACGCGGCATCTACAGTCTGGTATGGTAATCATGCATCCATCCGTGGATTCGCCGTGATCGACGACAAAGTCCCCAAGGGTACGGTGCAACCGTCAAGTGGCTGCCATGTCCGCGGATGATCATGGGTCGCAGGGATCGGTCCCTCCTCTGCATGACTCCAAGCAGAATCCGGAAGGACCTGATGAAAGTAGTATGTAGATGATATCCGCCCAGAAAGGTAGTCAGTTGTGATGTCCAACAGCATCCATTCCCCTCTCTATCCAAGGCAGTCCGACCCCTCTTCCGTGTAACCTCGAGTGAAGCTGGTGGAAAACTAAGTAGCTCTTCCGCTAAGATCATTGGCTCCTTCAGCCGGATAAGTGAGTAATAAAAACAAACCTTGATTAGCTTCCAGGTGCAATTTGTCTGCATGGCGAGTGTTACATGGGCTTCGCGTGTGCAGGTTACACCCTAAGACAAATGCCCAGGATCAAACGAACAACAATGATCAATCAATCACACCTGGATAAACTTTCCCTGACTGCGAAGAGAAGTAGCACGTCGTGTCTCTCCCTCTCTATCTCTGCCCCTCTCTGCCCGACCTCCCAAGCCAGGGGACTCGGTTTTCGACATATCCTGACTGGGTAACACCGAGAGGAAGGCTAATTGTCAGATGATGACCAGGTTCGTCGACACCGATCGACACAAGTTTGCTAGGATGAGAAGGGGTCAGTGAGGAGTTATTGGTCCATGTCCGGTCTGTGCATACGGCTCCTGTTGGGTCTTTGGACAAGATGAGTGAATCGCGGGGTCCTCGGCCATGCATGAAGAGTGATGGTCGCCGAAAAGGATCCCGCGAGTACAAGGCCATTCTCTATTACTCTCCCCCCCTTGTCTGGCACCAATGGCTTACTGAGCGGCCTGCAGATATCGACCTTAGCTGCAGAATGTGAAAAGCCATGTAAGCCATCCTAGATCGACATGACACCAGTCTCGTAGAAGGAATCGAGCGATCAGAAGTATGCTATGGCTATTAGCAGACGGCAATGGCGCTACATCCCAAGAATTCATGATTCGTGACAGCTCCACTGGGAGCTTGGGAGCAGCAGCAGACAAATTGGCAGGGAGGGGTAACCATACCCACAGCTAGCAGGGCCACGATTCCAGAACCAACTTGAGTCCCTTCCTCTGATTATTGTTATTGTTCGTATTTTCCAGGATCGCCGCAGGGGGAATCTGTGTGTCAGCCTGAGCGTGGAATCCACGTACTGCTTCAAGTGTGACCCAGCTCCCGATTACGTTTAGTCTATAATGTTGGAGGTTAAGTTCCAGGATGCATAAATCCCAGGATACCTCGTCTCGAAGAGCGAATATCCGATCTGTGTCGCCCCAAGAGGGAAGACATAGAGTGAGTGTGAATGTGGAGAGAGTCAGTCACCCAGAGAAAGGTCTGGACCAGACAGCCAGATAGACAGACACCCATCCCCTCTTCCATTCTCCACTACCCAGAAAGGTACCCAGAAAGTTGAGTGGAGCACGATCCATCCAAAGTAACAAAGTACTCTTTCTAGTCATCAGGCACCTCATCTTCCATCCCGACACCAACTTCCTAAAACCTCCATGTACCTAACCTTCCCAAAGCGGTATATAGTCGTGCCAATCAGCAAGAAGAGCTCGCTTAAGCACTTAGCACTTAAGTAATTAATTACCAAGTTAGTTTCTAGTTAGGTATCTAGTAATTCCCAACAAATCTGTTAGCTGTCAATCATAATTCCTAAACGACGCAAGTTAATATATTCAAGCAATATAGATTGATTAAGTGACCCATCCGAGGGGCACCATTAGGGTCGTGAATTCGCCATGCCAAGTACTACGCTAATTTCTTTCCCCGGCCTCCCCGGGACCGTAGTACGGGCACTGGATCTACTAGTTCGCATGCCGAGCTCTCCCTTGGAGACTGGTCGTGGATTTTCGTTGGTCCTTCCTTACGGCCCCCAGGATAGGGGGGATTGACTGGTGAGGGGATGTAGATTAATGGACGGAGGGAAGTCGTCAGGGGAACGTGGAGTAGTCTTTGTCTTTGTCTGTCTCGTTAAGAGTAAACTACTATCTGTCTATCCAGCTATTTTTTCTGGTTAGTCAGGTCTGAATGATAAGTTAGTTAGTTAGGTGAATGTTACTTAGTCAATTATTATACCGGGGTTCTCCCGTGCGGGCACAATGTCAGGGGTTATTTGAAATACCCAACATTAGGCCGACACCCCCATGAAATGCTCGTTTATTTAATCTACTTAGTCTGATTGACTTACATTGTTGCCGACAAGACATCCACAACACCGAGCGCTTATCAGTCCGTGGGTGTGCGGAGGAGTAAAAAGAAAAAGGGACGAGAAATACAGTATAACAGGACGGACCACAACTTTAGGGAAAAAAGCGTTATCATTTCCACCCACCTCCCCAAAAAAATCATTAGAGTAAAAAAACTACTAGCTAGTAGCTTCCCAACGGCTTGATAATCCGGATGCTGCAAGCGCTTACTTCTGGTCCGTAAGGTTTCCACGCAAGTCGATGCTCGGGACGAAGAAAAAGAAAAGAAATCCGAATAAAAGTAAAAAGTGTAATGGCTGTCATGATCCCTGCCATCCCCAAAATAGCAGTCCTACGGAAGCATCGCATTTGTTTCAAGTTGGTTTCATGGGCGGCAAGAATGTTGTTCTGGAAGCCCTTTTCCTGATCTCCTACTGGCGACCGTAGGGAAAGACAGTGCCAGAGGTTAGAATCCCAGCGCTTATGTTTGGGCGAATGCAAGCACCAGCACACATATTAGTGCATGCAGCTAAGCAGGACTAGTCCCAACATCATAAAAATATCCACAAAGCGCTGCCATTGCCCGACACCTGCTAATTCACTAGCTAATAAGCTGCTGTCTATCTATAGTCTAGCATATCTAGCACCATACAGTCGGGCGCTTGTTTGGGACTGCGACAGTGTCTCTTGGGCTTTTAGTGTGCCGCCACGAGACGAGGCCAAGGAAGATAATAATGGAATCCTTTGTGTGACTTACTTTACCCAAGCACGATGGCAGGCGAGGGACGATTCCTTGCATCCTCCGCAACGCCGAGGTAATCTAATCGTTCGTAAAATTTGGGGCCAAAATTCAAGCCATCCCATATACTCCGTATTGATGATCCATCAGTCATCTGTCGTCGCGACAACAATGATGGGGCACCCCCTGGAAAAATTGGCACCTGCCAACTGGGACCCGACACAAAAGTGACATGCGAAACAGTCTCTCTAAAAAGTGGGGTGCAGTGGAGACTCGGCCACGATCCGTCGGAACGCCATGATGGATGTGTCACTTCCGTATCCGAGTGTAACTATACCAGCCAGACTGCGTCCAGGATGTATTCTCAGCCGTCTAGAAAATCAGATTCTAAACTTAGTGCTGCATTTGATGCAAAGATCTAGGGCTTCTTTTCCAGGATGGTGTACCTTACAGGCGCACCGTGTTGTTTCTAATTCTGTATGCCTGCAGCAGCATCCGGGGATATCGGAAGCTGTTGATAAGATAGTAGGAGTAATACTACAGAGTAGTAGTAGTAGTACTACTACTGTGTTAGCCGTGTTGGCCCATTCATGCTTCCTGATTGGTGTGGCTCGTGTGGGCGCTTAAGACACATTACTTGATGGAGAGCGTGGAATCCTAAGAATAGCCGATCTGAGTCTTTTCACCACCGAATAATGTGGTCAAGTTGATATCTTTCAATTAGTGGCCGGTCGATCATTTCCTCGATGAGTCGAATACCAATCATTTCCCCTTGACAATAGAAACTTTTTTTTCCCTTTCGTACGTGTGTGTTTTGAGTCTGACACATGGGAGCAGGGATTATTCCCTCCGTCGAGTTGACATTTTGGGCGCACCTCGAAATAAGGCTTAGCGAACCCCTCAATGTCAATCCCTGGGGATGTCTGGAACTACCTGTCACCTTAAGTTTTCGATGATCAGGGATGCTCCTTGAAAGGCAGCTTTGCACGGAAATGCTCCAGACTGTTTTCCCCTTACTACTTGTGTTGGTGTAATTATGTGTAATTATTTTAAGCTGGCTGCAGGATACTAAAATCAGAAATAAGCCGTTAGTGTCAGCGAGACAGGAGACACAGAGTGTGATGGCCCTTCCCTGCCGTACCGAAAGAGCGTCTCCAGAATAAGGGACTGTCAGCATGGGAAAGTTTTGGAATCTCATCTGGATCAATTAAGTTACACGCATCAGCATATTTACGTGGTCTGCCACGTGCGAAAACATTGGGTGGGATTCGGGTGTCGTATTACCCTCGTGTACGGAAAGGCTCAGTACGTGGAGCCCCTGAGTGCACGCCCATGTCAGCTTTTATTGTATTTCCTGAGTAATACGTGATTACTTGCTGTCCACCGACGCTCCATGATAAATGGTGCTCGCTTTTCTGTATCAAGCAAATGGTGTCTCTTGTCGCACATAAGGTCATGTAATCTGTTGTGGGTCAGTTCAAATTATTAGGATCATGGAGGCACGCGACCGGAGTAATATCCCCTACCCATAATACTGTAGAATATTGATAGAGTCCAGACTGGTGGTGCATGTTAGTACCCAAAGCTAGGTAGGAGTTACAGGATTCTGGAACATCTAGAATACCCTGTCAGCAAATCAGTGAAACGAAGCCACAATATTGGGACTTCCAGAAAGGTGAGGGATGGAAGAGAAAGGAGGAAAAGGAAGCAAAACATGCCCCACCAGAGAGGCATTTGTCGCTGTGCAACAATATTGGGGCTGGTTTTCAACACATTCTAGAATTCCGCGGCGTGTTGCACGGTGTTTCTCCATACAATCCTTGTGGAATAGTTTATACCGACGCAACCGGCCACGGAGCTGATCCGTCGCACATTAATGAGCCAAACTTAGCAACATTGCTCTCGAAATCTCGTCTGCAAAAAGTTTCGGCTATGGGTCAGTTCTACCGTGTGCGACGACACTGTTTTCTGGCCGAGACGACATGTGGATAAACTATGACATAGGGAGAGAGCCACATCACAGGATGCCACAGCGCGACCCGAGGGAGCGGTGAAAGAGAGGAGCAGGATGCTGCGCCTCACTTCGATCAGTCCTCATCGCGGCTTTAGCGCACGGGGATCTTCCAATGGAAAGTGCGGTAAGATCCGCCCGGTGACACACGATGAAAGTATTAAGATGTGGCTCAACCAAACATGTGGCGCTAAGGTCGGGTCGGGAACTCCGTCCTCACCGACTTAGCGTCTCTTCTCTTGCGCCCCCTTCGGAGAAGAGCGTCGGGTGTGTGCGTTCGTCACTGGTGTTCAAATTCTTCGAACCCAACCGCTTGCATTCTACATCTGCATACTGCGCCAAACCCGCTTCTGAGGCTTGATGACAAGGGGGGAAGGGAGAGTTCACTGCCTTGTAAATTGTCAATTTCGAAGCGTTTTGCGTGCCAAGTGTTGCTCTAGGCCCACAATATCTTGTCATTCGTGTAGATATCCTCCTTTGTGGAGGATAATCAGGATGTGAGGGGCTTATTCAAGGGACTTTTTAATACAAAATAATAGGCACAGATCAGTCCGGTCGTTCCTTTGTCCTTTGTTACTTCTGTATTGTGGTCGTACGGAGTGTGGAAGGGTATGTAACAACGCTACTCAGCCTTGCATGAGCCACAATAGACCCACTCAACCTGGCAGCCACGATGTCATTATTCTCATGTTTGACTCGCGTTCCATACCGGTTTGATTGAAATGGGAAGAATGAAGCGACAGCTTCGTGGGATTAAGCCAAGGCATGTCATCATCCTTTTGACAGCCATACTTTTCCGAAGGTGAACGTGCGATGGACCGTCGTGTCTCCCAAACGTGCTCGGCGTATTTGGGAACGAGACTATTGAAATCTATAATATCTTACACTATAGACAAGTCGGAGGTTGCTCGCCCACTCCCCAATCTCTCTCTCGAAGGAGGGGAGCAAAAAAATGTGCGGCTCTGTCTGTATCGAAAACCCTAGTCCCGTGTTCGTCCTGTTTGGGCAAGATGATTGTCCTCGCCCGACGCCCTAAATGAGAATCGTCTTCCCGTCTGGGACAATCTCGGAAGTCTGATTGGATCGAAGAGGGTCGTCGGTCCATGACGCTTCATTTGCCCGTCGTGAGCTGCCGACCAATCGTTCCGATCGCTGGAAAATGCACGTTTCTGAAAGGGGTGTTGTAAGGGGAGTGGAGCTGAGCTAAGATCGTCAAGAGGACCCATGAGGTCGGCGACTTGAGTGATGGGTGTTCGGAACTGGCGGCCACGGCCCAGATCCAGTTGCTTAGTTTGCTGCTAGTCAGTCCTCCCCCGTCCCTCCTGGATTGAGGACGATCTGAACCACATTGACGGGACGAAGGAAGCGTCCCGCCATAGGAATTTTTATTATTTTCACGGCTTGAGGGAAAGAATGGCAGATCGACCACTGACGGTAGAAATGATTACCCTTAAACTTTCAAAACGTCTGCTTTCTCTGCGGTGTGTGTTAAGCCAATGACACATTCATTCGTCTGGATTCCTCCATGAGGATTCGGCTACTGCTGGGGTAGATACTAAATGGTTGGACGCGCACTACTAAGCGGATAGGTCACCGAGGACTAAAAGTTGCCCAGTCCGTATCCCCGTGATGGTGTAGCCACTAGCCTATGAAACGTAGCAATTATCCGCTCGCAGGAGGTCACGTCGTCTACTGAATAGCATTGAGGAGGGGGAAAGAAAATCTTTTTGCCACCATCTTATCAGGAACAATGGCCGTGCCTTGATTAGCAGCAATGCGGAGGAAGGGAAATAAACAAATATTCAACCGCTAAAACTGCTACGTAACCGACAAGGTTTGGTAGATAGTCAAATGGGCTACCGACAAATTAATGCCAAGTTTTCAACCGAGGATGGACGTGTGCCACTACGGACTTGCCGATGACACCTGCGGATACGAATGTCAGGAATGCACGGGGTACGGCGACCCCGTAGTAGGCATCCAGGCCTCCAGATCGTTAGCTCTTAGTATCGTCCTTAACCTATACTCATCTAGTCTATTACGATCGATTGCTCAGATACTTGGGTTCCAGACACCTCCAGAGGATTGTGTTTCAGACTTGACTACTACTAATTGAGAAGTAATTTTGTATCTGAAGCGAAATAATGGTATGATACGGGCCCGCCAATCCCCCAAGTTCAACAGTAGTACCTTACATGCAGGAGTTGCGAAAGAAGAAACCCCACGGACAGGCATGGATAAATTCATCCAATAAAAATCCATAGAGGCGAGATAAACAAATAAAAAATTCAAGGGAGTAATAAAAGGGAGAGGGGATGTACGGAATCTCGGAAAAGAGCGTGTCGATTAAGATTCTGATAGGGCCCAAATTTCAAGGGCGATTGTATGAGATGCTTGCTAGAGGTTAGTAGCTGTGGAGGCTTTGACAAAAGTTTGGGCGGCCGTGGAGTGGATCGCAGATGCGGTTCCCTTATTACTGTTTTAGGTAATCCTCGGGGAGGACTTGGGTATCGAGCATCTCCGAATTTTACTGTATTATTGGGGTTGTAACGATCCCTCCTCCGATTGCAAGTAGATAAGCACATACAGAAACGGATAAGAAGATTGTTGGCTGAAACAGGAAAGAGGCAAGAAGGAGAAAAATAAAAGGCATAGAACAGATTAATAATTGTTTACAGTGGTGTATAAGGGAAATCGAATGAAAACAACCAAACATAATAATCGACAAGATTATTTTCTGATAGAGGAAAAGAGAAAAAGCAACGACGAAAGGGAAAAGTGAGCATTTGAATCTATCCTTACGACATTATTCGTGAGCAGATCACTTAAAATGAAAATGACTAAGAGGAAATTAAAGGAAAATAAAATGAGAAAGGGAAAAAAAAAAAAAAAAAAGAAAATCCAAATAGAATCGGGAAAAAAGGAAAAGAAATTTCCAAGCAACTGAAGTTATCCTGCAAGTGAACCCTCCGGCTGGCAGTGCAGGATGATGCATGATGGCTAGTGGTAATACTTATTTTCGTACACTGACTTGACCCGACTAGCAGTACGGCGTATCGAGGTGCTAATAATAATACCACATACCTACCACTTGGTTTAGGCCCGGTTCACTGCCTGCCCCTGCTCGCCCGGCATCTCCACCTTTGCAGTTCTACCTACTAGCAGCACTACCCCTGTTCCTTTTTATTATTATTTTTTTTTTCCTCTTTCCCTTTTCTTTTTCTTTTTTACTTTTTGTTTTATTTTATTTTGATTTATTTCTTTTCTTTTTCATTCCTCCACTCTGGTTAGTTAGTGGTTCAGTTAGTGATCCTTCCCTCCCCACCACCCACCACCCACTAACCATCATCATCACCTCCATCATCATCATCATCGGCATCACTCACCCACACCCACAATCCACCCCAGTCCGTTTGGAACCGCGCTAAACACTAGGCTCTCCTGCTCCCCTGTCGCGATGGTGCACGCAGACCCCCCGCCCCAGTAGTCATAGTAGTCGGGCGATGGGCTCGACTCTTACTTTTTAGTGTGGTTTTTTCTTAGTTCGTCCGTAGTTGGTCAATCCCAGTTCAGTCTAAATATCCACTGCGTAAAGTCCTACACACTGCGACTCATAGGGCCAGCAATCATATAACATTTATCTATGCTTTTACTCCCTCCTTCCCCCTCCATCTGATCTTCCTCTTCCATCCTCATTCCACATTCCTCTTCTCCCTCACATACGGGTCGGGCCTTGGTGAAGCTGTTGAGACAACTCGCCCATTACCATTACAAAAGTGATATCCTTACCTACTTTGTTCCTCCTCTTCCTCTTCCTCTGCCTCTGCACTGCCCTTCTCTTGCTTCCTCCACGCAGTGTCCCACCTACCTTCTTTTATTTTTATTACCTTTCAGAGATCCCATTGCTTTGCATTTCATCATCTTCCCTCTGCTACTTGCGGTGTTAAACTTTTGCTGCCTCTTCTGCCTTCCCAGCGCCCCAAGATTCGGATCTGCAAGTGACAAAATACTTCGTCGCCTTGCAGTTGGTGGATTCAAATACCGAGCTTTTAGACACGTTCTTCCAAGCTCCCTCTTTTGTCTTCTATAGGGAAATTCCCCGAACCTCGTTGGAGCTTGCTTGTGTCTCGTCACTACTACTAGGCTCCCGCTAAATACCAGGACTATCAGGGCGATAGATAGTAGGTTCCCCGAGCGGGCCGTTCCCAATCTTTGAACTCAATAACCTTCTCTCCCAAGCCCCCGGGTCCAAGGGAGCCCTGCCGGACATTATTTCCATGCCATTGATTGAGACATCAGATTGCTAACGCTCATCATGTTGCAGATCGATTGCATCCCTCCTTCTCTTCTTCTACATTAACCCTCGCATCCTCCCACCTGGAACCCAAGGAAACGAGCCAACCACTGCACGGAGCGTGGGCATGCAATCTCACGCAGACACTTCCGACTTCGTACTATTCCCTACCCACTTCACCGGTGACAACAAAATGCTGGCCCTGGATTCGTCCAGACAGCAGCATCCCCCGTACTTCCAGTCCTACCCCATGGATCCTAGTACCTTTATCGATCCTCTTGCCTTCCATGTGGACGATCTAGGTTTCAGCCAGACCCACGACCAATCCGGTGTACCCCAGTCCTCCAACTACGGTACGCCGCCTATCTACTCCGAGTCTTTCTCGGACGCCAATAAAGCTGCTGGATTTCCACCTATGCCCGCCACTCCCCCGTCCCTCCCTTATTCTTCCGATCACTTCATTCCTGGACTTTCTACTGCGTCCGGTCCTTCCGTTGCCAGCGCCTCCTCGTCCGCCATCGGATCGCCCAATACGGGTTCTGCGCATGCTATCTCGGAAGACTGGGTCCAGACAACGAATGGCTTGGGGCTTCCCGCCGCGGTCATGAGTGACTACTTCCCCAATGAGTATTTTGGCAACACGCTGGACTCGGAGGGTTTCTACCAGCAGAAATGCCCAGAAAACTTTGTTGGTGTGTTCCAACGTCCAGATTCGATACACTGTCCTGCGACCTCTGCTGACCACTAGGCCACCTCAGACCCTTCTGTTATACAGCCAATGCTACAGCAGCATCCCATCAACCCCCCTACCATCTCGTTCCCCGAACAGCCTGATTATGTCGTATCGCAAAGCGCGTTTCTGCCCCAATCCCCTGACCCTTCCCACCTCCATCCCTCGGAGAGCTACGCTGCGAACCAATCATTCGCACAGCACCCCAGTCTTGTGCCGACCTCTTCCCCTTCCATGGCTCCTGCCCTACCCCAGTCACGACGTGCTTCCTCTTATGACCGGAGGTCATCGGTCTCCTCGGTTCAGTCCCAGCGCTCTCATCCAAGCCCGGCTGCCAGTAATGCAGAGTCCGACGATGACACCAAGGAAAAGGGACGATGCCCTTTCCCGGAGTGCAGACGTGTTTTCAAGGATCTCAAGGCTCACATCCTGACACACCAGTCAGAGAGACCCGAAAAGTGCCCCATCGTCACCTGCGAATACCATATCAAGGGTTTCGCCCGCAAGTATGACAAGAACCGTCATACTCTTACTCACTACAAAGGAACGATGGTTTGCGGCTTCTGCCCGGGGTCTGGGTCGCCCGCCGAGAAGAGCTTCAACAGGGCGGACGTCTTCAAGCGCCACTTGACATCAGTGCATGGCGTCGAACAGACACCACCTAACTGCCGGAAGAGAAGTCCAACTGCAGCGGCAAGCAAGGGGACATCTAGCTACAGCCCCGATGCGACTGGCAAGTGCTCAACTTGCTCCATTACGTTCAGTAACGCACAGGACTTCTACGAGCATCTGGACGACTGTGTGCTTCGGGTTGTGCAACAGGAAGAGCCCAGCGAGGCCATCAACCAGAAGCTGCTTTCTGAAGTCGATGCTGACGAGGAGGTGCAAAAGACGATGGAGAAACATAACTTGAACGACACGGCTGGCACCGTCGACATATACAACGACGAATATGATGATGACGATGATGACGCTTACGAATATTCGAACCTACGTTCGGGCAAAGGCCCCCTGAAGAGCACCAAGGGATCAGGGGCGGTGGCCCGTCCTATCTTGGGCGTCAACAACGCAGTCACAAAGGGTTCGTCCAATGCCAATGCTAAGATGCGTGCGACTACATCCAAGCGACGCAACAACCGTGATCGTTACCCTCAGTCCTGGGGTTGCCCTAGCAGCAGCATCAAAACGAAGAAGCGTGTCCTATGTGTCTTTGATGGGCAGCGCCGTCTGTGGAAGGACGAGATGATGCTTGACAATGAGTTCGAAGTCCGCGTCAAACTTCCGGGTGGTGCAGGAGATGGCACCAACCGGGAAGCTTACGTGACTGACTTGGACGTCGAGACATTGAAGCGTGCTGAGGGTGTTCTTAGTGCCAATGACGAAGAACGCGGCCCTTGGGTCGACAACCAGTCCACCCAGCTCATTGGACAACCGGCCGTTCTCCTCCCTGATACGTACCGGCCGCATGATGCCGAGCCCATGGACATGACCTACTAAGTCCGGAGGAAGACAGGACCCCATCTCCATCCATTCCCTTCATTTTGTTCGATTCTGACATGTCATATTTTGCATATCGTGGGTTTTGCATTTGTGGCATGACGAGAGCGATTTGTTTATTTGTGTTCGACCAGTTTTATCTTGATACCACCGTTCTGCAGATTTTCTTGCTTTATTGATGGGCACCCATGGAGGCTGCGCCCGTGGTCCTGTAATAATATCCCTTATGTTACTTGTGCTTGGCTATGGATTGGGCGTTTGGGCAACTAAAACGAGAATTATCTTGAAATGCGGGTCATATCCTACTTGAAAAATGGGAAGGTGAATTTCTCAAAATGTAAAATTCGCGTTTGAGAGCAGACATAAATCATCACATCTTTTTTGAGCAGCGTGAACAAGGTTTCAGCAACAGGGAGTGTAGATGTGAATAGATCGATCTATCTATCTATCTATCCGTAGTCGGGCCGGCCAGCGATCGGAGTCTTCTGCCCGCCTTTTGCCCCACACTTTCCCCTTCCCGCAGGTGTCGCATGGCGATTGCCTTCCTGATCAACAACCCAACCCAACTCACACACGCCCTCGCAAGATGCAGTTGGGTCTCTCGGAAAGCCTGTCTTCCCTGGTAAGCAGGAGATTTGTTGCTGCCAGAGATGCCGGTCACTTAATCTTCTCCTCGACGCATCTTGCGACCGTCCACACGTCAAACATACCGGTAACTAAGCCACTCCATCTCCGCGGCACACACACACACGCCCTCTCCGACTCCAGCTTACTGACTTTCCCCCCCTTTCGCTGTCTAGTATCAAGTTCGCTATTGTCCAGCTCTTGCGAAGAAACCAACAGGCGCCCCTAAGCCTGACAAGGGCCCCAGTGGACCGAAACCCGATCCCTTCCAAGATCCGTCTCCCGACCTTCTCCTCGCTCAGATTCCTCGCGAGAACCCGTCGCACGTGCTGGTCTTGAACAAATTCCCTGTAATACCGAATCACTTCATTCTTGCTACAAAGGCGTGGCAATCGCAGACAGACCTCCTCGACAAGGAAGATCTAGAAGCCGCATATGCCTGTATCAAAGCATGGGCCGAGGGAAGTCACGCAGAGGGCCAAGGGAGCAAGAAACTCTTTGCCTTCTTCAATTCTGGCGACGAGAGCGGTGCAAGTCAACCCCATAGACATTTGCAGTTTCTTCCTGTCGAGGCCATGGCGCAGGGTGACTCCCAAAACTGGCAGCCCCTGATTGACGCCGTGGCTCGGCAACCTACATCCAGCGGGTCTGGTTACCAACATTTGGCTCAGGTGCCTTTTGCGCATTTTGCACGTCCCTTGCCATCAAACCCCTCCAGTGAGGCTCTCCATCAGATCTACCTGTCTTTGTACAGAGCGGCAGTAGCAACGGCAAAGGGAGACCTCAGTGACGCCGGCCAAGTCACTGGTCCTGCCACCATTAGTTACAATCTTGCTATGACTGAGACAACCATGATGATCTGCCCGAGGCGGAGTGAAAGTGCCCGTATTTTAGTTGATTCAACAGCATCTGTAGATGTTGCTGAGGCGGGCGTTGTCGCACTTAACGGCACAGTCCTTGCTGGTACCCTGATGGTCAAGGCTGAGGCCGAATGGGACGAGTTGCGTCGGAATCCCACTTCGCTACATAATGTGCTTGCAGCTATTGGATATCCTCAACCAGATTCGCGGGAAGTTTCTTTGTTGTAGACCGATATGTGCAGCGATATAATTTCAATGGTTAGATATTTTGCAATATAAATAATAACTAGAAGTGATCAAGCGCCTTTGCGGCAGACTTTTGTAGTAGTAGATATACGAGGAGAGTCACTAGTATAGTATCCTGTAAGACTTAGTCTGTATGGTTTGATGTTCAGGAGTGTTGAACGCCCGTCGAACTAGCATGTCTCAGTAGGAACTACTACTTTTCTAGGTCCGAGTAGGCTCAAGGCTAGACAATCTGCCCACGACGTATCAGCTTACACACACAAATGAAATGCTAGTTAGTTAGTTATCAATCCAGTCTTCAGATAGGAAGAAGCTAATCACGTGGTGAGGCTGTATCTGGAAGTCGCGATGGCAGCCTCTTCTTTACTAGTCTTTTACTAATTCCCTCCTGAACTACGTTGATAACCCCCCGGACTGACCACTATTGTATGCTCATTCCATGACACTCCTAGTCCTCTCGGACAATGTGGATTTCTATCTTACTGGGAGAAAAGGCAAAGAACGGAGACGAGTCTGCTTCGATATCGCCTTCCCCAACACTTCACTTGTTCACTGATCGCTCCCTCACAACAAGTAAGTGCTTCTTTTTTGCAAAACATGAGTCCATTCAACGCCAAAGTTTCTCGGACAGTCAGTCTAACAATTTATTCTCCAGTCAACGTTAGATCTTCACGCCATGGACTTCGCACCACTTCTTCTTGCAGGTTGCATTCCCGAAATGATAGGACCCCCCATGGGTCCTGATGTACTGAGCCACCCTCTTCCAAGAAACCTTTGGTAATTGGTTGTCAATCTGGGCCCAGCAGAAGGAGTAATGGCCATGTTCCTGGTCCGTGGCTTCCGACAACACGTTTACCGCCTCACAAAGAAGGCGAATCTACAGTGATCAGTACCCATTTTTCTTTTCAAGAACCACCAGGAGGAAAGTTGGAGCAACCGGGACAGGTGACTTACGTCGTTTTGATGCCATTGTGGCTTCCTCACGCGTTGCTCCTTAGACTTTGTCAACGTGCGGAATCTGCCACGGAGAGTCGACTCGGCCTCCTTGAACCCGCCAATCCTTTTGATATCCTTATACGACAACCCACGGGGCTTACATTCAATCAAGAATGCGTTTCTCTTGTCACGGAGACATGTAAGTGGCCTGCCAAGCAGCTTCCCCTGATTGATGGGGCCTATGTCACTGGGATTCGGTAGCGGCCAAGGCTCATTAAGTCTATAACGACTCTTATGGTACTGGTAGGAACCGTCATTACATCCTTGGCTGGCTGCACGCCCACTTCCGATCGAAAGCATGGCTGGACAATCAGTCCTTTTCGAAGCCCACGGGAATAACAGGGACTGGGCAGCGTTTGAACCGTCATTCTCGACTATGGAGGGATCCAAATGAATGTTTGCCGCGTCAAGCTGAGCCAATGCGCTGTTGATTTCTCCGTAAAACTGCGCCTCGCCCGAAAGATTCACTGTATCCCATAAGGATCGATCGTAACCAGGACCCTCACTGAATGAGTCTGATACGTGATGTTCCTGTGCAGCTATCATTGAATACGATGTGCTAACTGCAGCAAGAATGTTATCTGCAGTTGGTGTTGGAATTTCAAGCCATGGCCTTGGGGACACAGATGATGCGACATTTTCCGCGCTTGTCCATTCCGCTTCATGAGGAGAAGGCTCACTTCCCTGAGATATACATGCATCGAGGATGGTTATGGGTGCCCTGCGTGGTGTTGTCCCCTCTGCTATCAGGGATGAGGCGGTCTCGCTGATCGCAAAGAGGTCATTGATATCATCGGTCTGGTGATATGTATCAGAAGCAGCATCGCTAGAATAAAGATCACAATCGACGATTGATGTCTGTGGGGCGTCTGCATTGGCAGCAAGAGCCTCGAACTGGCTGCCATCCTCGACTTTGATGAAGTGCATTTCTTGTGGCTTGTTATCATGATGAGTCTGCCCTTCATGTCGGAAGTGAAACCCGTGTGCTGCTGCTGCGGTTCTTCCAGATTCGAAGGCTGAGTAACAGCTTGGATAACAATAAGGGCACCCTATCTGGGGCAGGGTTTGCATCGTCGTGTCGTTGCTCGTCATCCCGGTGAAGTGTGTAGAAAGGCGCTCGTCTTTCTCCATAAGTTGGTGTGTCTGTTCGCCTTCAAGATGTATCACAGGGAGCTTTGAGGTGGTGTCTTGCCAGGTAGAGGATCTTGCAAGGGGGAGTGATCCGCGGTCGTCTAGGAAGAAGAGATGGGAACGAAAGTTCGACGCATTAAAGCTTTCCTCAACGGCAACAGCCTTTAGGTCTTCTGAACCGATCAGGACGCGCAGCATGGCTTTAAACGGAAACCAATATCTTCTTGCTCTCTTCACCGCTACTATCTCCTATGCTCTGGATAGACGTTGGGCAAATACTATGCATTGGATCCTGGTGTATGTACGCTGTCAGGCTACTAGGGCACCTGCAGGGACTGTTGTGGCTGCTCAGTACACCAAGATCTATATGGAGGGGTTTCACTTTCTCGGATGACTCACCAATAAGGGTCGAGTATTGATAAATCTGCGATTGTTTAATTTTCCAGATTGGGTTGCAGAGAACCAATGACTGAAGGTCTCGAGATCAGACAGGCTTTCCCTGAAGGCAACACGACTGAGCGGTGGAGGAAGTAATGAGCACAAGGTGCCTCTGACAGTGTGGTTCTCGTTCTCTCTCCAGTTGCTCGATGACCGAATGAGTGATGTTTCTTCTTTTCCGCCACAGATGGAATGGCAATGATGTCTCAGAAGCCTAGCCTCTTAGGCAATAATTGGCGTTCGAGAAGCAGCTGGACAGGGTTCATGGAACTCACGGTTCGCTCTATGAGAGGCGATGTCTTATCCAACGGAAGACGTAGAGGGCTGTATCCGTCCCCAGGAAAAGGTGTCAAGACAAAACACAGCGCTCGAGGACAAAAGAGGTTTGACTCGAGAACACCGGAGCCCTTTAACATCGATATCAAGCCATATCGATGACTCTTTCACACCCTCGCACTTCAGGCCCCTGGATTACCGGCTACCATGTTCCGATATGGCTTGAACTGTTCGCATCCCCGGGAGCTTAACCCTTGTTCTTTACAATGTTATATCGCCTTCGAACGCTATAAGATGCTGATCGAGGCACTATACCCTTTTCTGTTCCAAAAGGGCATGGGTATTACGGAACAATATCAATCACGGCGCATGGTTCGGTTTAGCATAATCTCACAATCTCCCGTAACGATCAGTTAACCCCTTCTTTTGCAATGGGCCGCGCATAGCCCCAGACGATCCTTGGAAGAAGAGCCATCTTCTGTGGCGCAGAAGATAGATTCAAAGCGAAGGGGAACTCACCGTGCTGGCGTTCAGACGATGTTGACTTGGTGTGGTTGTTTTGCAGCAGCGAGCGCCATTCGGGTAACCACATAGGGCTTTGTTCGCACATCCGCTTTATCCTACTATCCTCAGGCGACGCGTTGGCTGCGACCTATACCAAAGGATCCAGAACATCTATTGCCTCCAAGGAATGGTACGTTTGGCCGGACGGCTCGGAAAGCTCCCGTTCGGATCTGCAGGTCTTATTTTCTCCGCCATTGGCTCGACAGACATGCTTTATCTGACTGCTTTATTTTGCCCTAACTTCTGCGGACCTTTTAAACCCGCACTACCGCAATCAAACTGCATATGCAGATCATTCCCATCCTTCACGTATCCACCAGAGCTCAGGCAACTGCACATTACCTAGGGCATATGTATTCTGAAGATCAAAAGTGCCGCAGAGTCTCTTCCCATGAAGACCAGTTGCAACGGAGCAAATAGCAAGTCGGAGAAAGAAGTGTCTGTGTTGGTCCTGCACAATAAGGTTTTCCAATTCACCGCTTGATTCCATCCACATACACTGCACCCCGGCTTTTACCGGGTCTAGCAAGCCCCAAACGCTTCTGCATCCGTCATTGTGCAAATCAGACGTGCCCATCTATCATTGCAAAGCAGTGGGCGCAAATGTCGGTCGGGAAATAAGCTTAACTTACTCTTCGAGCCAAATGTCGGACGGGTCTCCGGTTTGCTCTCTAGACCCCAGATAAGTGAAGTCCGGCTCGAGAGGTCAGTAGAATCTGCATGAGCCATTTCTTTCGGACATCCAAACCGGTGACAGGGTACTTCTGGAACTTACATCATACGGCACCTACATATACATTTTTCTCATCTCACGGTACTTTCTGAGCTCGACTTTCCTACTGTCGTCTCGCACAATGCAAGACAAGGCAAACAATCCATGATCAAGAACAAAAGAAAAAGCAAAGACAAACCACACTCAAAACCCCCTGATCCCTACCATTGTCAGGATTTCCTTTCCCCGCACGATCATTGCTTCGCTCCGTGTGGCTCATTGCCGATCTATCGTGTGCACTGTATGTTTGCACTTGCTGGAAATCCTATGTATAGCCTTTGTGGGTCTCCTCCCCCGGACACCATCCCCAAGCATGTGCACATGTACACGCGTACATGTGTGTACGTGTGCACGGGCCAAGAATAGACATTTTCGTGACGTACCGGGGGATGGGGGATGGAATACGATGGTGGCAGCATTAATCTCCTCCATAGGCAGGGGAGCCCACCAGCCTGCACAAGGTCAGAATAAGAAGGCAAGAAAGAAAGAAAGTACTGACCTGGCCTGGCCTGGTCTAGCCTAACGCACTGAGAGTTGCACACACGCACACCTTCCCTGCGGAAATCCCGGATGTTGGGTAGAAACGGTGACACCGTCGGGATGAGCATGTTTCACGGGTTTCACCCACACCCTGTTCTTTTTCGCTGAGAGACTAGACCAGTCCAGCACGGTCCACTCACCACGTATCCTTGAGAAACAAACCGGAAGGAAGAAAAAAAAAATGTACTAAAAGAAGGAATCATTTAAGGAGACACAGAGCGGGGGATGGTGGCGGTGGGGGTCTGAGCGTAGGCCCTTATATTCATAACAAAAGACTATAATGACTATTATTTTGGGATCCTCCTGCAAATTCCCGGGATGAGCATGCAGAGGACTAGCTCAGATTGATGGGGCAATTTGAAGAAATTCGGAGAAATAACAAAAAGAACTACAGTAGGGACTGTGCACACTAAGGAAGCAAGTAGGGAAGGAAGACGGCAGTAGTCTTTCTCTTATGTCTCTTCCCGCTGCAGCTGCCGTCGTTCCGGTTTGCTAACGACGGGCCTTCCTGCTGCTGCTGTCTTGCGGCAATGGCGTGCCTGTCTTCTTTGAAATCCGTTGTTCAAGTTCACGTGCATTGTGCGAATCATGGCTCTCATCTGCTTGCAGTTTGTTTTTCTGTTTTTTTTGCTGTACATGGCCGTGCCAGGAAAATTCTGGCTGGCCGAGCCATGAATGAAAGCCTTCGTTCCTACTGGGAGCTCGGGAACTAATTTATTATTTCCACATGTATGTATGCTAGAACCCTGCGCGGGTGTCGGTAGATGACAGTTCCATCCCTCAACAGCCAGGCAATCCATTGCCCTATGCAAACCGGACAGAGGGTTAGGTCGTCGCAGACCCCCGTTGGCCGCCCTTTTTCTCCGGCCCTTGACATAACAATAAACTTGTACAGGGGATGATGGTTCATGCAGGAATGATAAGTAAAGAATGGGGTCTACCAGGGTGAATTCAGGGTAATTCGCTTTCCTGCGTCCGTCCGCCGTAGCTTTGGTACCGGTCCAAAAGCCGGTCCATCAGCAGCACTATTACTTTCGTCAGCAGATGGATCTAGGTATTCCTTCCGTCCCCGATGCATGGCTGGTAGCTCACCCATGAATAATGCAAGAGTAAACGCGTATAATATGGCGGGGGATGTCATGAAAGAATAGACAAGCGGAAAGTGATCAGAGAAGCTCACTAGGCTTCCAAGGAGTATACCAAGGGACACGCGGGCCGCTGCACTGATGCCAATACATCTGCGGAGTGTGTGGCGACGCGCTAATAGTACAAAAGCACCAAAGAACATCATGGAGAGTGATGCCACGGCAAAGTAGTATACATAGACGAATTCTAGGAGGGCCATATACCCTCTCAGCAGCTGCTCGCTACTCAAGCGGCCAGGATCAGGGTGGTTCGAAGGCATGATCCGCATGGTGGAGAACAGCGCCGCAGTTACATTCCCTACCAGGTCACTGAGCATGTCTCGGGCGATGGGGACTTGGCCCGTCCGACGGGAGGGACAAAGCGGGTGATTGGGGAGATCATCCAAGATCCGGGAAATTGTAACCTGTTCGTTTACGGCCCCTCGGCTATAGTCGATCTCCATATCCGCAATGGTGGTTCGAAGAATTCGAATGGCGTAGTCGGGTCTGGGCCGTGGATCTTCACAAGCCCACAAAATGGTTTCTGCTAGGTACCGGAGTTTTAATGTGATGTCCAGACTCAAGGCAAGGATCTGAGACCCTTCAAGGAGGAGAATGAGGACCACATGGAACGGGAAATGTAGCTGAGCCCATATCTGCTGAGAGTATTTGCCCAGAACGCGTCGCGGAGAAAGGTCGAAATACGCTTGCCACAAGAAGTACTGAGATTGACAAGTTAGGTTCCGACTGGGAACGAACTGAACAATGAGTGGGTCAGGCAATCATCGGGGCCATACCACACTAGTTGTGACGCCTAGGATATGAACAAACGACCACTTCGTCCAACCGCCAGGGCCTACTGTCCGATTGACAAGCCTAGTGACAGATATGACACCTTCGCCGATTATGATCAGAGTTAGAAGGCCCATTCTTGTATTGAGATGGGTATCTTGGAGTCCAATCCCGGGTGTGGCGCTTGAAGTTCCCATAACTACCCACATCTCGACCCCAAATAGAACAAACCAAACGGTCCAAATATAGGGGTTGACTCCTTCACGAGGACGGAAGGCATAATACATCTACAGCAAGTCAGTTTGACACTGGTACGAGCTAACCGATGGTTGTCTGCCTTGGGTAGCTTACCAGGAGGTAGGTCAGACTTGAGACAGATTGCATCCCGGCAATAATAAATACACCCCTAGCTGCAGGCATCATACGCCGTCGAAGAAATACGGCGTTAACAGTGTATTGCAAGGCAAGTAAGAGTCGACTGCCACCGAGAATAAGGCTCAGGGACTGGAAAGCCCAGACATTTTCTGGCTGAACACGGGTGGTGAACCGTGTACCTGCCGATGCAAATCCAACCATAGCAGCCAGTTGGATGGCCTTGCAAATTCGCTCGAAGATCGAGTCTCGCGCGAAGCGGATATCAAATAGTGTGACTTGGAGCCAGGTAAACCAGATGATCCCGAGGAAGCCAATGTAGGCCCACAAAGCTGGCATGCAGTATCAGATTGTGATAAAACCATGTTGAAGAGCTGGTATACCTTCTACATTGTTGATTTCATGTGTAGCCGTGAAGGTCGAGAGATTTGCGACGAAGAACAAGTCAAAGAACAGCTCAATGGGTGTTGCCTCGGATTGTTGACGGAGATGCGGAAGGTCTCCATCCTTATCGTCAATTGGCGACTCAATGAACGCAATGACACTACGCTGCCTATTAAAGTTAAGAAACCATTCAAATACCATTTCTCCTCAACGATGGTTCAACTTACTGCGTGGCTGCTCTAGCACGCCTATCTCTACTCGACGGTTGGCCAAACCAGGACTTGAAGGGAATTGGTATCATAATGATTGGGCCTTAGGGAAACTAGACAACTAAACGATGGGTATCATGAAATATGAAGTAAGAACAGTCCAGGTCGATGGACGTCGAGAAATTGGCGTGGTCGATCGTTTGCGACACGAGGAGCAATTGGTAATTGTCTCGGAAAGAGCGATGGTGATGCTCTTGTCAGGGACTTCAAAGCGGCAGCCAGCGCAGATCGCACGGAAGGCGTCAATGAAGCATTCGTAGAGCATCAAGGCTCCTCATGGTCAGAGTTATTTGCAGATGCTGTCACCGAATTTCCAAGACCCTCCAAGCCTCGCGAATTCGCCATCTCATCGGCTGTAGATAGGTTCCCATCCGAGCCAGGAGTGATCCCAGCCTCCTGCTTGAGCTTCTCGTAATTATCTCCGGCTTCTTTGATTAGAGCCTGGATTTCCACTTCCCGAACAGCTATGTCAGCCTTCTCCTTTCTCAGTTCTTCCATGCGGTCGATCATCTGAGTCTTTGACTTCTCCAGGACCGCCAAGTTCATACGCAAACGCTCAAGCGAGTTCGACAGACGGGGTAACGAGGTCATCTTGGGCGGAGTGCGTGGACGGTCAATAGGGTCTCTGCTAACACCCATAGCAGCTCGCGCCTGGCTGGCGTCGTACGCTGCTTTTTCCTCCAAGTCCGAATCATCATCATCCGACAAGCCTTCGGCATCATCAATGAGTTCACGCATTTCTTCCCGCTGTTTTCGCTTTTGCTCTTTCTCTGCTTTTCTCCCAAGGGATATCCGTCCGTCTTCGACGAACTCGTCAAAGCCTTCTGCGAAATCTTCATCATCACGAACGAGCCTCGTATCCTCTCGCCGCGCCTGAAGATCCCAGTTGTCCTCGTCCATATCGTCCTCGAGGGAAATGAAGTCTTTCTCAGTGGACAGAGCGGCTTCCTCCTTCGCTAACCGTGCTCTTCGGGCTTTCTTTTCTCTAATCTCTGCTTCGCTGGGAATAGCAGCGGGCGTCGAGACCTTCATGACCTCACCAAACTTTGCAGCCACATCAATTGTCTTTTCCGTCTCATCCTCAGCTGCAGGCTTCGGTGTAGAGGGCGTCGAATTTCGAAGCTCTTTCAAATATTCGTCGCTGTAACTCGGCCTATCCTGCTCTGGTCCTACCCGGAGGGGAATCTGACCACCTGCGCCGGACGGAGTCAAGGACCGCTGGAATGCGCTCTTCTCTATAGCCCGTTTCGCGAGGCCAGGTCGTTTGGGAATGACAACTTCGCTTTCCTGGTCGTCATCGTCCGCCATCGAGGTACTGCCGGGGCCGAACGAAAGGCGCATCTTGGATTTTTGCTTCGTTTTAGAAGTCGGAGGGCGTTTGACAACAGGTCCAGAGTCTACCAGCTCTCCATCAGTATATTCATCGCGTAAAAATGAGCTGGATCGCAGATACCAACCTTGCTCGTCGGCGTCATTTTCCTCATCTTCGCCACCAATTTTGCGCGGCTTTCGACGATTTGCAAATTGAGAACTCATTGTGAAGGTGTATGAAAAGACTCGGTAAGCTCCTCGTCCAAAACGAGTTCTCAGCTATAAAATCAGCAAAAAGCCTGAAAGATGAAACCCCGCTGGCGTCACTTCCAGCTCCGCGATTCTTTGGAGCTCGCGGGAACATCATTCTTCCGGGCCCAGCTGATTCCCACTGCTTGTATCTCAAAGTTCCGCAACGCGACCGACTCGACGTTACGATAGGACAGTAAACCCCCAGAACACACCATTCAAGATGCCTCAAGCCCAGCCCGAGTTGAAGAAGGTATGATATTCGCGATTAATACCCCGCCAAACTTTCCCCGATACAGAGCACCGAAGCTAACATTGCGGTTTTCCAACAGTACATGGAAAAGCGGGTATTCTGCCAACTGAACGGCAACCGCAAAGTCATTGGTATCCTGCGAGGCTATGATGTACGTCGCGCTTGTGCCCCCTGGATTTCTACTTTCCTGCCTGCTGTGTTGCTGTTATACGGGTTGATATGCCTTGGATGGGGTCGAAGATTGAGATGTTCTTGGGTTCAATCCATCGAGTGAAAGAGGGGGCGGGGAGAGTGTGTGTATGTGTGTATAGGTTACTGACGTCTGCGCTTGTCTATACAGGTGTTCATGAACATTGTCCTTGACGAGGCTTTCGAGGAGAAGCAGGGTGGTGAGAAGGTTGCTATCGGCATGATTGTATGTGGCTAGTCCCATTCCCGGACGTCTACGTTTGGTCTGCAAACTGGGAGGGGCAGGAAGCTAATGGCTATCTATTCGTCTTAATAGGTCATTCGCGGTAACTCGGTTGTTATGCTCGAGGTCAGTATCACCTGCCATAGGACTACGATTGATGGCGTGCCTTATCAAGAGACTAACCTTTTGTACTTAAAATAGGCCCTGGAACGTATCAGCGACAAATAAAGTGCTGTGGGTGGACGGGAAAGTCAACATGTCTTTTTATACCTTCACTGTGGGAATGATTTAATTGCAATGGAGTTCACGGGTTGGTTGCTCACGGAATGATCGATGGCATCTCGCTTTCAAAAGGAAACAGAAAAGAAATCTTCATTTCAAACAAATTACGAGAAACACTTCAAGTGCAGAGGTCTGGAGTATACCAGATTACGGCAGTCTTTTTTTAAAGAGGAAGAGGGGTGCATTGACCCAAAGCAATGATCCATGACGGCTAGTCAGTTATGGTCTATCTTTTTTTCTCGGCAAACCAATGCCCAACATATCCCATTGGCAATAATCAAATGGGCCTCTGGAACCAGATAATACCCTGTGGAGATAACCCAGAATACTAGAAGAATAATAGAAGGAAAAGAGAACCCCCGCGCCATGCATCTCCTTGACCTGAAATCAGCCCACCTCCGTTCCCAAAGTCCAAACAATGAAGAATGAAGCTATACGAGTTAAAATTGGTATCTAGAATTTTGTAATCAAGACGGCTGTGAGGAAGTTGAGCTCATTTCGGCTTCTGGCCGAATTTCAATTTCAGCTTGAACCCACCGCCACTGGGTGTGGAAGGTGTAGATGGGGCAGTCGTTGGTTTTGGCTGTGCTGACGGAGCTGGAGAGGGAAGGTTTGGAATGTGCAGCTTTGTTGGAATATGCTGCGATGATGGCTTTGGACTGAATGGTGTAGTACTGGATGCCACCTTGGACTGCTTGAATGTGATACGAGGGCCGGGTGGTCCCATGCCTTGCTCTTCGCGCTTGCGTTTCGGGGCTGTTGTATCTTTGGAGGGCGTGAGCGTTGTGCGGATTTTGTTCGATCGGACGAAGTGCATGCGTCCCTAGGTTGAGTTAGCAATGATGCAATATGATTTGCTGTTATCCATGCTACGTACCTTTCCGAGATGCTTCACGCTCCAGTAACGAGGGTATTTCAGAGATACCATCCGAGTCGTGATTGCGTCATAGAGGACTCTGCAAAGATCGGTGAACTCGGAGAGCTCCAGTATTCCAATGCACGAGGAGTTGCACGCAGCCCAAAGGGACTCTTTCAGCATCTGATCGCCGGAGATCTCTTTCTTGAGAGCACTCAAGGCTCCGGTAACTGTTTGTCTCCGGGCAAGGTCTGCCTGACGGACCTCGGTCGAGGACTCCTGCTCGATAATCAAGTTATCGGTGTTACTGGCAGGTGCTTCATCCTTGGTTTCACGGCCAAAGGCGACTGGCGCGAGAGCCTTTCCGAACAGGTTATGTAGGCGGCACCTGATAAGAGCAGAAGAGTCGTTTGACATGGTGAAAATGAACCATCGCAGTAGTTCGGGGTTCCGGAAAATGTCAAGCTCAATTAGGCATTCAAACGCATCCAAGCGGAGGAGATCGTACGTTCCAGCTCGAGTGTATGGTAGGAATTGCATAATATCAAGGCTCAATATTTTGGCCTCCATGAGACGCACTTGGCAGCGCAAAGCGGCTCGTGAGTAGATGTTCTGGAAAGAGCTGGACCATTCATCCATCCTGCGATACCTATCAATCTCTGCAATGGCGTCTTTCTCCAATTGTTCTTCTGCCTGAGCCTCCAATACACGTTCCATGTCAAAATCGTCCATCTCGTCGGAGGGCCTCTCAGGCTTGCCCAGCATGGCATGGCATAGCGATTCCATCAAAGTCGCGACATAAAAGTTGTCCGAATACTGTCGCAGCATAAGCGTCGGGTCAATGAAGAATAAGCTCACGTACTTACCTCGTTGTTTGAGTTATCGTTGAACTTTAACTTGTCGTACAGGAAACGCTTGACCCGCATGGGCGTCTTTCCGTTAGCGTCGCGTATTTTAGATATAGACTCAGGGATGGCTAATTGAATGAAGTATGCTGCTCTGTCAGAGAAGTCATTAGAGCGAGTCATTGGGGACCCTGGAAGGCAAAATAGTTCTTGGAAAGCTCTTTCGAGGTGGAACAATCCGACCCAGCCAACAGCATCAGTAGCATGCTTCACCAGAGCTCGAGCGGCAGCCACCCGAATTCCGTAGAAATATCTTCGATCCATCAGTGTTCTGACGAATATGGTGGAAATGAGCTCGTGCTCTCGCTGAATCGCCATATATTGCAATGACTGGATATCACATATTGTCAGTTCCAGTACCTAATGAATAAAGAAATTTACTGACCTCCAGCTGCGCTACGACGTCTCGATCTTGCTGAAGCTGCGACAGGTACATGTACCCTGGCATCGCCAACGAAAGCTTGCATATCCACTCAAAATCTGCATCCATGCGAATCCATTCATAGGACTCCCTGCTCATTCTCTCTTCCTCTTCTTCGCTCCAATCCCTTAGCCTCCACTCAGCGACCTCTTCTTCGCTCTGCAAGACGTCACCGAGACAGTAGAGCAGGACATCTTCCTGGGTTTCGGCATTAGGGTCGCCACCTGTAACGGCAGCAGCGCGCTCCTTTTGTCGCTTGTTTCGTTTGAGACGTTTGTACTTGGTATTATACGGTATGTCAAACTTGGTAACGCCCTCCTTGATCTCCACGATGTGTTCATAAGGCGTGCCATCGGCTTCGTGAATTCTGATGGTCATGGATCCAGTGAAGACCGGCTGGATAACTCCTGCATAGACGCCCCGTATCTCCTCTTTGACATCCCGCATGAATGCATTCTTGTCCAAGTCGCGCGTACTTGAGGCATCGGCTTGCACCTGCCGGATCATCATCTCAACCACAAGCTTCTTCTTGTTGAATCGCTGCGTGGCTTGGAACCGAGGGCATCCTGCTCCATATACCCACTGCTGGAAGAAGGAGTCGAGCTTTGCGTGGCCAAGTCGCTCACATGTCCTCTGGAAGAGAGAAGTCGTGACGGCACCATTCGGTATATCACCCATCCGGGAGTTCAGAAAAAGACGGGAGATGATGCGCGACATCGTTGCCTTACCGCTTGCTTTCGTAAGTCTCCGGTCCAGAATGAAGAGGACAAGCGGGGCCTTGAGCGCTATGAAATCAATTTCAGACGGGTCTATCGTCAATATGGTACCCATGTCGTAGAGTGACGGACGTTCGTAGTCCAGCTCACAAACTCTATCAGACATCTGTTTTAATCGAAAGCGATATTCATTATTCCCACAAAGCTTCCGCATGAATGTATCCGTGATATACCAGGCGACACCGACTGTTACCCAGGTATCTGTTGATTCTTTAGGTACGATGTTTACACCGATCCACTGGCAGGATAGGGCATGAACTAGGCTGCGAGTAGAATCATACATAGGATCGATGATGTCTTCGGGGAACAACAGGCGGCTGCTACATATCGATAAACAAGCCGTGGGTAGCGTGGCATCAGGTGTGTCGTCCACAAAGCATATCTTATAGCTAGCGAACGGGTAGGAACCGTAAGACAGTGAGAAGAAGTCGATCGCTTTCGCCATAGGAAAGCAGGTGTTCCTGACCTCATCTCCTCTTCCTGGGAGGCAGAATGCGTGCAGCGGTATGGCGTTAAGACCAAGCTGTTCATCTTGGTCGCTTTCACGAAAATCGGAAAGGTTGATGTACTCGAATGGACCCACGGCAAATCCAAGCTGCTGGGCAGAAAGGGGAGAATAGCAGGCGAAGGAAACTGTCTTCTTGGTAGAATCTTTGGGGTCGATAATCTCATCCGTCAGATCCCCGGAGCAAACGACAGACAAGTCGAGAGTTTCGTCATCCGGAGCAATATACCGATCATGCCCAGAAGCGGGCTTCGAGCGACTGGGTCCAGAGGCACCCGAATGATCACGAGATTTGCGATCAAACATATCACCTAAGGAGCAGGGGCACTTGATCGAGAACTCCCACGTACAGCGCGACAAAGGATCGTCAACGCAGGGGAAAAGAGGACAGCCAGCGCCATACCCCAGGGAGTTTGTCGTATAAGCGTGAGGATAGCGTCTGTCGCCACTTTCTAATCCGACAAACTGCAACCCATCCCGAATATTCTCAATGACGAAGTCGATGGTAACCGTGAGGGCCGTAAAGCGTGGAAGTGATGACTCGGCCGCCTTGGAACTCAAAGGGCCTTCTGCATCATCAGCGGAACCCGTAGCACGTAAAGTCATTTGGTCTTGAGCTTCAATCGAGGAGGGATCAAGTTCATCGATCCGGACGCTCTTGGGGACCGTAATGAGAAGGTCAGATTCTGGAGGAGATTTGAGTAGTCCATCTATCTTCGTCGCGAGGCGCTGGTGATAATGAGGGCCGTAAAGTTGAAGCGTGTCATAAGGATCCGTGTATTTGATGGTAGGTACTTTGCCACTGACATTGATACGCCGAAGCTCGCCTTGTCGGAAATTTAATCGGATAACGCGAAGGTCTTTGTGATGCGGATGGATCGTGAGTTCCGTTTTCCCCTTGAGGCTCTTGCTGGCAAAATCTATCTCAAGCTCGACCTTCTGATGCGCGACGGTGAATCCCAGCTCCGGCCTGACAGGCCCAGCTGGGGTCTCGACGACGCCTGGCATGGCGCAAGATACTCAGTCGTGCACTGCGCCGCGAGCGCCACGATGGCCAACTACCGTCATGTCCAAGCTCCAGGAGCGATGACTTTTCCCACCCGGCCGCTTTGATCCTGACAGACACTCGATTTTGGTGGTGTTTAATCTCGTGTAGGCGGGGGCGAAGAGAGTGTTAACTAGGAAGAGATGGAGAGCTGCTTCGACGGGCGGGGAACAACACCGAAGGGAAGCAAGCGTTCGAGGTGACCGTGACACTGAGCGAGGTTTGGCACGAAAGAACCGTTCGATAGGACGGGGAGGGGGGTGATTAGAGGGGGAGACTGAAATGAGTAGTAGCACTGGAGAAGATGGACGACCCGGGATCGTCCCTCCAACGACCATCAAACTGAACAATCACTTTTCTATCTTTTCCTGTCGCGTTCTTCTTTGCGGTCGAAAGCTTCCCTGCGGAGCTGGCACCGCCACGTGATTCCGATCCGCGGATGGCGCGAGGAGCCGCCCGTTCCTCTTTCGGTGCCGCATCGTCAAACGGTTCGGGTCCCTTTTCTTCGAACCCTTTTTTTACCTTTCTCCTAGCCTTGGATTCATTTCCCTTCTCCCCTAACATCCCCTTCCCTCTATCTTGCAGCATTCCGTTGTCTGTATTTCCTCCTCGTTTATGCGATAGAGCGTTGACGTTGTCCGTTTGATTGCGCTTTGGTTTCCTTTCCCATCCCGTCCTTGTCCGTCTAATCGCATACCGCGCGATATGAGCCAAGTTTGATTTTACCCCCCCAGATAGTCTTTTTTCTTTTTTTTGCCCAACATTCCAGCTGTACATCCGAATTCAAGATGAGTGTAATATTCAGAAAGCTCCAAGGTTCGTAATATCCTGCTACAGCACTCATTCAGTCCAACGTAACTGTAGAGCTAATTCGTGTCGCGCATTGTATAGCGATCCAAGACTCGCTTTCCGACGACGTGCTCTTGCCCCTCAAGAGCTACAAGTACTCGAGTGTCGATAAATCCTATATCTCAAATTATATTCTGAGGCATTACGTACTGCCACCCTGATCCGATCTATACTTCATACCCTAACACTGACATGGGCTGGTTAGTGGAATGCGTTCGTGGAAATCTTGCCGCTTTGGCTGGCCCCGAATATGGTCACCCTCTTGGGGTTTCTGTTCATCGTGGGCAATGTGATGCTCATTGAAGTGTACATGCCTGATCTCGTGGGACCTGTAAGACGACCCCTGGAAGAACTACCTATAATTACAACGACGCTGACAGGTTGTCATTGTAGGCTCCTTCCTGGCTATACTATAGTTTTGCGCTAGGCATGTGGATGTGAGTATATGGCTGCATAGTCGATGTGGTAGCCCACTTCTAATAACGTCTCAAGGTATTCTACTCTGGACAACGTCGATGGGAAACAGGCGCGCAGAACAGGGACATCCAGTGGTTTGGGAGAGCTCTTCGAGTAAGTGGCCATTAAGATTAGAATGAAAGGCACTACTAACTCTTCATAGCCATGGAATCGATTCTTTGAACTGCACTCTGGCTAGTCTTCTCGAGACTGCTGCCATGGGCTTTGGCTCTTCTCAGCTTGGTGCTTATACTGCACTCGTTCCTTGCCTCGCAATGTACTTTTCGACCTGGGAAACCTACCATACCCATACACTCTATCTCGGCTACTTCAATGGCCCCACGGAAGGCCTTCTTATCGCGATCGCGATCATGATTGCCTCTGGCATCTATGGCCCCCAGATCTGGAGCCGACCGATCGTTGAATTCTTGAATTACCCGCAAATCTTTGGGAACAACTCGATGAAGGATCTCTGGGTTCCCATCCTCCTCTTCTCCTTCTTCCTCGGACACTTGCCCGGTTGCGTCATGAATGTCATTGCTGCTCGTAGAAAGCAGAACCTTCCGATTGCACCCGTCTTCAAGGAATGGGTGCCGATGATCGTATTCACGGGCTGCAACATTGCTTGGCTTTTCTCTCCGTATTCGACGCTTCTGTCGGAGAACCGACTAGTCCTCTACTGCTGGACAATCTCGTTTGTCTTTGGACGCATGACGACCAAGATTATTCTCGCTCATCTGCTCCGGCAGCCATTTCCCCATTGGACGGTGCTGCAGGTTCCGCTCATCGGCGGCGCCATCCTAGCCAACCTTCCCCGCCTCGGATTCCCTATGGTGAGCGCCTGGTTGGAGCTACTTTACCTGCGCCTGTATCTTGTGTTCGCCTTCGTTGTATACATGCACTGGGCATTCCTCGTGATCAACAGAATCACTACTTTCTTGGGAATTAATTGTCTGACGATCCGTCGTGACAAATCGGTAGCAAGAGACAGGGCTTATCGTGAATTTGGCGAGAACCAGCCCCTCAACCCAAACTCTGATCCCAGCAAGGGGGGTATCAAGAGCCATTGACTATCTTCATATGATGCGTGTCATCAACGCATCTGATGGATTTAGTACCTTCGTGCTCGTGATATATAAAATTCGCTGCGCAGCCTACGTCCCCTATTTAATACTACGGGGCTTAGACTGCGCAACTGGAGTTGGCGAGAGCAGAAGACCCGGGCTTTTCCATGATAACAACACCCGAGCTGCAGCATCTTTTTCTTATTCCTCTCTTGCTGGTTGTCTTGGCGACGTACATGTCCTCCCATATCTATGATTCTAATGTCCCCTTTGGATTATGCCACCAGCATTCAGGCTGATGAACTTACGACATGAGTGGATGGATGACTCGGACGCAGATCAGTCGTTCCTAGTCAAGCTTTTCCGGTATATAGTTCGATGATAGACAGTATAATAGCTTCTAATGAAATGATAGAGTTGTATAGAGTACAGAATATTGATCATGAACCAGTATGAAGCAGACTTGATGCAGTAGACCCAGAGCAACCCAAGTTATACACACCGACCACAATTACAGAAAAAGCGCATGATAAATGAGATATATCAATCAAGGGAAATTAGGATGACCGGGATCAGCTTAACTGAAAGCCCTCACAAAGAGTAACGAATCTGTTCAAAGGAGGCTCAAATCCTGCGTCGAAGACTGTGTCTCATTTCCCAATTATAAGCATACCATCGATCAACTCCCGCCTGAGATCGTCTACCTGATAGCGGCATTATAAGCCTCTTATAAAAAGCGGTATATCAAGATCTGGCCTATTGGCTCAATGGTAGAGCGTCGCTCTCCTAAAGCGAAGGTTGTGGGTTCGAGTCCCATGTGGGTCGGTGTATTCTTTTTTGTCTTTTTGGGAAATCGTTACCCGCGGAGCATCTACTCCTAGTCATAACCCCACTATGGAGTACTGCAGCTAGATATATATACCGAAGTCCCGTCTCCATGCTCGTGTAGTAGTCAATGCGAATCTAATAGAGCTAGCACACTTTATTCTTTTTGTTCTTTTGTAAGGCGGAGGAGGGATAAAGATCTTATCTTTACGCAGTATGTAATTACAATTTGAGTTCGTTTTTGGGAAGGGGGTAATTTTCATCTTATTATAAGCATTGGGGCAGAATGATCCTTTGGGAAGGAACTTCCTGGTGTCGAGTACTTTGGAGTAGGAATGAATGATGTGATATGATGTTGTTAAATGTTTGCGGTATATTATTCCTCAGTGTGTATGTATTCATTGCTTTGGGCGCTTTGTTTCATCCACGAGGTCTGAAGTCCATTGATTGGACTCTGGTCTACATAAGCATTGTTCATCATTGAAACATGATACAAGCATCCCTGCTCTCACCAAATATAAGAATGCCAGAATCAGATCATCGGAAGCGAAACGGCCGTCGATGCATTTCGAGATTCATCTTGTTCGGGTCCGATAACGTATACAATAGCACTGCATGGAGTCCATCCCCTAACATCTCCAGAGACGTATCGCGCACACGAGCATGTTCTGGAATGAAGCCGGCTATCTCGCCCTCGCTCTCGATTGCAACTACCTGACGTGCCAGAGTAGCGAAGAATCGAGAGTCATACGGCCCTTCGCAGTGGGGCCAAGAATCAAGTAGACTTAATGCTCGCTGTCGAGTTGGGAGATCTCGACACCGGAGACTTGTCCAGTTTAGTGGAGCAATGACGCCCATGTCGGTCACTATCTTGGTAAGATTCGTGCCGTACTCTGCCCTCATGCTGTTTATGATGCGCTCACAAAAGTTCACGAATGTTCGGAATTGTGGTAGATAAGAGTCATATACGAGCTCTGACAGGCTGAGCATAGTTTCCAGATCCACCATCAAGACGATATGGTGAAGCCTTATCATGTCCATGCTGCGTGCTTCCTTGGCGGTCATCTTGGATGGATGAAATTGTGCGCTGAATGTCTCAAAGGCTGAGATATGTTTCATTAGCTGAGTCCGTATCCTGTGGTGCTGGACTGATAGTTGCAGGACGTCGACCATTGGATTTCGGAGCAATGGACGACAGGTGGTACGAAAGCGGAAGACGACACTTCCCAGGGGATCTAACTTGTCTTTTACGTCCTCCAAGCTTTGGAAGTCGAATTCTTGGTTGAGAATGTCTGTAGTCAAATAGCCATTCTGTGCCCCCAAAGTAGTAACGGAGCCAGATACTCTGAAGTGCGCGGATTGAGCATCCAGCTGCGCGAACGCTCGCAGAAATGCCCTTTCGGCAGTAGATTCTTGGACCGGCTGGAGGACTTTTGACAGTACAAGGGTACGTGCCTCGTCCCCCTTACGGTTCGCCAAAACATGAAGCCCATTCTGAAGATGAGTGAACGCTTTCCCCCGATTGCCTTGAAGGTATTCGAAGAAAATGAACGCGACACAGCACATTAGCACAGCCAGGCGCACCTGCGGATCGTTTGACGGCAGGCGTTTTTGTAGGGCAGTAATGGCCCTGCTGTATTGCTCGAGGGCGAAGCGATGGTGATCATTACGATCCAGGTCAACTTTCTGCAGCGTCGTTCCTCTAGCTTCTGAGTCTTGATGCAGGGCCCCCAGAGCAACGACCGCATGGCAGACAGCGGTTTCGGCTTGGCTCATCTGGAGTGCCAGTCGCTGCCAAAGCTCCGAATCATAGAACCCCACCATCCTAGGCACAGTGTGTGTTTGGAAGTAGGTAAAGCACCGGCGCTCATCTGAACTCATTCCAGGGAGACTGATTCGAAGCTGAAACTTTGGGGGACTAGCATTGAGCAAATACCCGGCGACATTTGGGAGTCTGGTCAAGTCGTACCCATCACAAGTCCGTCCGGTGGAGGTGCAGTTCTTGCACGCTCCAGGAGCCTCATCGCATTTGACTCTTCTCGTCCGACAGGTCCGACATCCGGTGCGGGATCTTGGGGCGTAGTGTCTTCGTCTTTTAGTTTCCATTTCGTACAGTCACGAGCAACACGCATTCTGCAGAAGCAAGGTTTGGACCCTGAGTCAGGCCATAGGGGTGCAGAGCAATTAGCTTACCTGCTAGTCGGTTATAGTTAGGGTCATAGATGCGTTGGATTAGTAAGATGATGGTGAAGCTTTGTTGGTCAACAGATTGCCACTATCCCAGACCGGCAGCAGTAGCGCTTATTGTTGGTGCCCCTCCAACCAGTATCGGTTATTCACCCCATAATTCTAGTAATAATCTGCAGCAGTCAAGGCTGAGATCTTACTTCGATAAGTCTAGTTCTGTGGGGAAGGTATTATAGCTTTATTCGCGGAATAATCCTTGGTTTCTTCGCCTGTGTTAGCGATGCCCACAGAATTATACACCTGTCTGAAACAATAGGATCATCATAGAGCACCTCTTGGTTGTCATAAACAGAAATTTCGCACTGTGAACGTGATAAGCACAGTATCAGAAATGAAAGGTAGATTAGAGGGCACACGTACTAGTTTTAGCCTGGTAGTATCCAACGATGAGGCTCTGGTGCACCTGATGCCCATGTTGTACCGCTTCCCCCGCCAATCCCACCATTACCGCAAGGGAGGAGGATCTTCTTTCTCCGCGACCGGCCTAACTGGTCCTCTGTTCTCCACGCCGCTGAGGCTAGTCGTACTAATTCTCCGGCTTTCTGTCCGGGCAACCGGTGATCTCGAAAGATGTCCGGTGCTTCAGATAAGTATTCCCCGCTTTGATAAAGTCTGATAACTGTCGTGTGTCGCTGATAAGGCGGCGGCCATGCTAAAAGTTCATACATCTAAGTCTCCATATCCACACGAGGATGCTTTGGGAGACATTATTCTTTGAAACTCTTTACACATCGTGCTCTGATTTAATATACCGCACAGCACAAGGTTCAGGATCAACATGGACAATTCCGTAAAATCTGTGGCCCCTGTTGCCCACTCCCTTGATGATAAAGGGTCAGGCAGTATTCGGGTCCAGAATGCAGATGAATTGCGCCTGGCGCAGATGGGTAAGTTCGATGTCACCAAAGCCTCTACCTTCTGCAGTTCTAACAATGTTTTTTACTTGCGATCAAACAGGCCATAAGCAAGAGCTGAAACGCCACTTCTCAGTATGGAGTCTCATCGGGCTGGCTGCAAATTGTACCATCTCCTGGACTGGTGAGTTGTGAACCACTACAGACTTGACAAGCCTCATGCGACGCCTCAAGGAACCTGACATGAATGCAAACAGGGCTTGGTCTGGGTCTCATCACTTCCATCAACGCTGGCGGTCCCGGTGCCCGTACGGAGCCCCGTAACTCTAGAACAATGCCATGAGATTGACACTCCCAGTTATCTACGGATTTATCCTCGTCTTTATCCTGCAATGCTTTCTAGGAACATCGCTAGCGGAGTTTGTTTCTGCGTACCCAGTCGAAGGTGGGATGTATCACTGGATTGCAGCCATTGCCCCGAAACGTTACAGCAATGTGTTAAGCTTTGCGACTGGTTGGAGCACAGTGTTCGGCTGTATGAACCTTGACAATATCTGCCAAGTAGTTTGATGCTGATGTGGACAGGGATATTTACCACCGCCTCTACGAACCTCGTTTATTCGTCGAACTTCGTCGCCCTTATTGCCTTATACAGACCTAATCTTGTTGTGCAGCCTTGGATGACTTTCGTTGCGTACCAAGGGTTCAACGTTATAACATCTGGAATTGTCATGTTTGGCAATAAGTGGATGCCAGTAATCAACAAGTTCTCATGTTGGTATATGATTCTTGGTTTCTGTGGTTCACCTGCTAATATGGTTGATGGGATAGTATGCTACCTCCAACTGGCCTGGTTCGTCATCCTGGTCACCGTCGCAGCCACTGCCCCCAAGCATAACGATGCAGAATTCGTCTTTCGTACTTGGATTAATGAAACTGGTTGGAAGAACAACGTCATCTGTTTCATAACGGGCCTAGTCAACCCTCTCTACTGCCTAGGCGGCTTAGATGGGATCACTGTACGTATTCCAGCTTGCATTGCACGGAAGTGGCTACTAATCAGAACCACAGCACATCACCGAGGAAATGCCAAACGTGAGTAGCACACTTTAGCGCCTGATCGGGAGCTAAACTATACATCGCAACAGCCAGGAAGAAATGCTCCGTTAGCCCTAGGTAGGCTAAGTAACCCTGTTCCTCTAAAACTATACTAACGCAACTGTCTTCTTAGCTTGCACACTCGCCATAGCTTTCGTAACCGGCTTCACCTACCTCCTCAGTCTCATGTTCTCCGTCCAAGACTACGCAAGCCTCGCCGACTCCCCGACAGGCCTCCCCCTCGCAGAGCTTTGTCACCAGGCAACCCAAAGCCGCGGAGGCGCCTTTGCCCTCGTCTTCCTTCTCTGGGTTGCAGTCGGACCATGCATGATCGGCTCACAGCTGAGTATGACTGGACTACCCCTTCTAAGCTACGAATCGATCATTCAGATTAACGACAGGACTCCAATAGGCACCGGACGAATGCTCTGGGCATTTGCCAGAGACGACGGACTTCCCTTCTCCAAATTGTGCGCTTCCAAATCAAACCATGTAACCCGAATAACAGACACTAACCGCATCCAAAGCTGTTCCAAAGTCAACAAGCGATTCGGAGCTCCCGTCAACGCCCAGCTCTGCGTGGGTATCATCATCGCACTTCTAGGCTGTATCTACCTTGGTTCCAGCACCGCGTTTAACTCGATGATGAGTTCTTCTGTGTACGCACTGCCCCACTTCCTACAAACCCCTAAAACATCAAGAGAGAGTTTCCCTACCTTTCTGACTTTTTCTCCACACGCAGAACAATCAACAACATCGCCTACCTCGTTCCCATCCTCACAAATGTCCTCCTTGGCCGGAAAACCATGCACCGTGGTCCGTTCTCACTAGGATATGTAGCAGGAATGACGGTAAATATTATCACTGTTGCGTGGCTGGTCTTCGCAATTGTGTTTTTCTCGTTTCCGTATGATATGCCTGTTACTGGTGAGTTATATGTTACACTTTCTCTTTATCGGCGTTCAATTTCGTTCGTATTCATTCTAATATTTATATAACAGCCTCAAATATGAATTATACGTGTGTATGTGTTGGTGGATTCTTGCTGCTGGAGCTACTGTGGTGGATTGTGGCGGGGAAGAAGTATTCGCGACGAATGCAGAAGGTAAGGGAAGAAGAGAAAAATGCTTCACAGGCGGTGGTGGTGGATCATCTGGGAAAGAGCTGAATCTGGTATTGTTTTTTTTTGGTTTGGACCAATTTGTCTTGTCTTACGTGTATTGGTTAAGGTTATATTAAGACTGAATTTATGAGATATGATTGTGTATTTATTAGGAAGGATTGAGATGTTCTGGACTATGATACTGCACGGCCCCCGTACATGCATATATGGCCCTTGAGGCTAAATTAAATCCTTGATTCCAAATTGAGTATACCGTGCATATGCATTTCGGATAGCGGGGGCAACTAAATGTAACAACAACGTCGCAATTCTCGCATGCCTGCAGTGCAAGGTGGCTGACGCGTTGAGAGGTCATGTCATGATTATTCTGAGTACAGAGCTAGAAGTCAATCAATCGGCCATACCCGTAATAGGGAAAACGGCGGTCACATATAGCATCTGATGAACGAATTGTGGAGAAAAATATTAGCAGTCTCTAAGCCTCTCAGAGCTTTGACCATATATTTGAGTGTAGGCGAGCAGGAAGAGCTCCTCAACTGCAGGTGAAGATGCATCTGCTACCTTCCACATGAATGTGGTAAACTTTGCGCATTGATATATAGCTCAAAGGCTGCATTAGTACTATCGCTTGTCTAGTCAATTTCGACCCTACATTTGCAGGGTTGGTTGTCACTACTTCACTGATCACTCCAATGCAATTATTATCCGAGGCAGGCGTAACATCGTCGAGTCCGTTATATAAGATAGGTGTAGCTAGATATAAAGTTCAGTGATGTGCTGAGATTAACACAGTCTCCCGAACAAGAAGTCCTTGACGACTGGTGAGCTGGAAAATTCAGGGTTCAAGAGGACACAGCTACGCCGATTGATGTTAGCTATGAGCCACTGACAAGATCCAAGACCGAGAATAACGTCGTTGCTGCTTACTTCAAGAAATATTCCAAACCAACCCTGCGGGATTCAAGAAATGAAGCGCGAAATTTGACTGGGTATCATCCGTCAGTCAGATTCATGACTCGTGTGGGCTGTCTCGGACGTACATATGACGCTTTTGGGAGGAAGAGGAGGCAGGGCATTCTTCGCATGTGGGAAGGATGCCACCAATCGTTGTCGCAAGTCGTCGAATTCCGAGTACCTAGGGACAAAAATCTTAGCAAAGACCAACCATTTAGGTGGAATTCCGAAGCTCACCTTAAACGGACGGTGATGGGACCACCCTACAAGTCATTAGCACACAGAACTCCTGGGAGCATGAAGCGATAGCTCTGCGAAGCAATGAAATGGAACACCCGATGAGAGAACGCTGACGTACATCTAGTGTTTGTATCCTGCAATTCCACACAACATAGGATCCGATACCAGTCTTGCCTTGGACGACGACATGATCATCGACAACAACACTTTTCGCCCATAACCCACGACTAGTCTCACAGTCCGGATCCTCTGTATGGTCCTCAAGTGTAATGCCTGGCGCCTGGTCAATAGAGAGGTGTGAAGCTCTGGATGCGTTTCTATGGTGGCTCCAATACGGCGGATCTTTGCCGGACACAGGACGGTCCCTGTTCGAGAGGTCCTGTGCCCGAGGAAGGACCGAACCATTGCTCACAGCGACCCCGTCCGAAAGGGTTGCAGCTATAGTACCATTGTTTATGATGTCCGGGGGAGGAGTCGAGGATTGGGTAGGTGAAGAAGGGCGAGGTTGGTGCGGAGGCACGGAGCCAATGTCCTCATTCGCTGGCTCCATCCATCTAGATATTCGGTGGACGGGACAAATGCGAGCCTGTCTGTCACTAATAATAGGTTTGGTAAACGGCGTGCAACCACAAAAGAGGAGATAGGTGGCGGGGGATGGCTAAATGTTTGGTCACTAACGGGAATTACTAGTGAAGCTTGCTGGCACAACAGGAGGTCTGTGTACTGCGTTTCAAAGCCACAGGGTGTCAGCCCGGGTTTCGGTCAGGTATGGCTCGGTATGATACCCGAGAGTGAGAGGGAGCGGAGACTCTGAAAGAAGGAGGGGGAAGGGATGTTGATAAGATAGAATGTCTCAGAAGGGGAGGGATTGCTGCTTGAAGCCCATGGATTGACGATCGATATCAAGCCATTCCATCAGCCACGCTCCGTGTTCCGAAAGGAGCCAACGGGGATCACGGGACCACATCGTCCAACGCCTTTCCAGAAGGAGCGAGTCATGTGCTGCTTATCTAGCACCCGCGAAGGTACCTAGTAAGTGGGTAGGTCTTTTGGTATGGGTGAAAGTTATGGTAGACACTAAAAGACATATATTTCATAGGTTGTTTTTCTGTTTTTTTTTTTTTTTTTGTGTTTGAAAAGGATCTCCATTCTGCACCAAAAATGAGAATAAAAAAAAAAAAGGTTAACGCAGGATGCTTTCTTTGTGCAGCAAAAGCAAGACTCAATTCCCTCAGGACTAGTAGACTAGTCAAACAGGGTAGTCCAATTCCGGCCGCATTATTTCCCGCTAGCCAATTTGGCGCAGACTAGTTCCATTCCTCCTAGTCCCAGTTGGGCCTAGTGACCAGGGTCCACGCTAGAAAAAGCCAAGAGTGGCCTTGCCCAATCAGGCATTCTCTAGTAATGGAGGATCGCCCAGTCGGGGTCCTTCAACTGAGACAAATGCGGGATCCTCCCCAAATCCTGCTCCAGCCGAGGTGCGGTTGCTTTCCCCGTCTTCCGTCGGCTGTCAGCCATTTGGAAAGATTCACCCTATCAACTGGTTCTCTGTCTGAGACATTCTCACACCATCAGAGGCTGGTCTGCTGCTTTCTGTTCCATGCAGAAGTCAGGCGCACTGGCAAATTCTCCCAGACCTGCAGTCAATGGCCGAGTGAAAACTAAACATAGCAGCAAAGCAAGCAGGGAGGAGAGGGGCCATGTTACCTGACAGGCTAATTCGATATTGCAACCCGCCAACGAGGGTTCAGACAGAAACTTAGTCTTATCTGCTATCGTACTGTATGGAACTTTGCTAGATGACTTTCCAATCGGCTAGTGGTAACCAACTCGACCGGCCTCTCTTCCGGCGTTTCTTGTCTTGCTCCCTCGCCTCTGTCTTCAACCTGTTTTGCCCCGTCGTTATCATTCTCCCGGTGGGTAAGAGTCATACGGTCAATGGGACTGGAGCCGCAGACTTTCTCAGGATTGCTCCAGTCATGGAAAGGCAATAAGAAAGATGGAGACTAGCCACTCACTTAGCTCTTGCCAACCCGGCGTGGCATTTGATGGCTGGTTCCAGAAGAGGCCGTCTGGAGCTTAGGGAACTCATAGCGCCGCCACCCCAAGCTGACCTCGCGTAACGGGCGAAAAGTAGTACGGTGTGCGTGAATACTTATACCGAGCTTTGAGCGCCAGCTTTTCACTATTTATCGCTTGCCCTCTTGGCTTCCTGTTTTCTTTTTTGTCTCGGTTCTCCCTCTGGCCGTCCTGAGATCTTGCTATTTCCTATTTGAGTTTTCTGTCATTGATATCACTAGCAGCTCAATCCATCATATTGGCCGACTACCTGTCCAAAACTCTACTACACTTCAAGCTGCCTTAGACTGAACACGTATGTGCGAGGCTATCATATCTCTCAGGTTCCTATTCATTAGTTACAGAGATCAACACTGACATCTTGCATCATCACCACAGTTCAAGGTCCTTCCATCTATCCCTCAAATTCCGCTGTCGTACCCACCGCTTTTACGCCACTCGATATGCTTCTCCTCCGTCCCCTGATTGCTATCGCCTCCGTGGCTGGCCTGGTCCTCTCGCAAAACACCTCCTCCATTGACCCAAATAGCGTCCCGATTGATACAAGAAGTATGTTTTCTCTGTAGGTAATACTATGGTGCCAACTGCCTCATCTGACTGTGTAACGATAGAGCAATGGTGTCAGTCTCAGACCTCGTCATGCCCATTACTCTGTTATCAGTTGCCAAACACATCGGGGTCACCCAAAGAAAACACATGCGACCCTGTAAGTGCGAGTAATAAACCTCTCTCACTTACTTCATCTTGACTGATGCCATGGACCCTGAATGCAGAAAACACTCCAATACCAATGCATCTGCAGCAATGGCCTGAGCCCCAACTCGTCTCAGTACTCACAGACCATCCCATACTTCATTTGCACTGAAGAGAATGACGAATGTGTCACCCAATGCAATGGTGACTCGAGCTGCCAGTCAGATTGCCGGTCTCAGCACCCCTGTGGTGCACAGAACCCCAAGCGTGTAAATGTCACGTCTACCGCTGCATCCACTACTGCCGCAGCCACAACTTCCCTTCCACCTTTCACTGGAGTCCCTGACAAGGGTGCAGCAGCCAGGCCATCGACTGATCTTGGTCAGGTATACGGCCTGGTTGTAGTTGTGGGAGCTTTCCTGGCCGGGTTTACGACGTTGCTTTGAGACAAGGCTGCAAGTCAGTATGAAGTTAATGTCATCTCTGCCAAGTCCTGGGTTGGAACCTTTGTAATGGGGCATGCCAGATTTATGTAATAATCACTTTTCGTTATGTGTTTTGTTGATCTCAGAATTATTTTCTATCTTTACTCCGAGCGCTCGCAGCTAATTGATGGAGCGTCTTGCTTCTTGTCTCGAAGTCGACACAATTTATGTAATGGGAATCCATGAAAGCATCCACTCCTTCCAGCTCTTAGAGATACTTTGATCCATGTGTGCTACATTTGGAGGCACCAGTGCGCAGTGTCTGATGTCCAAATGAAGATGCAAGCAACTTACCTAGCTGGGAGCGAAAAGCTGCAGGGAATGGTATCTACGGATAGCTATGTTGCGAGACGAGCGACTGACACTATTCCCGAGGGCGGAGATCACGAGTATACCTGGGGCATTCGTTGCTTTTGAATCATAATGCAACAGTATGGTGAAGCCAAAGTAACTCGATTTTGAGTGGTGATATCCTACACGATGCTCATTGCAATTTTTGCACCCCTTGAAGAAGAGTTCTCTCACCTTCTGCTTTTTAATGTAATACTATCCTTCCCGTGACATTCAGCTGAGGAGAAAGTGAATGTCTGGGACGAGTTTTACTCTACTTTTACTTGATTTTGTTTACCACAAAGTCTTAACTTCTGTGCATGTGTTTCTTTGAGGGGTCAACAACATCCTCACCCAGAGCACCTGCAACCTCTCTCCTTCATGTACTGGCAGCAGTTGTCCCCGCTTCTTGCCTCTCTTGCATTCACTCTTGCGTTCAGCAACTTCTTTGACGACTCACAACACTGGAGGGTTCCTGAGGGCGGCCAGGGCAGGTCAGCTCAGTGTTCCTGCCACTTTGGTCAACATGAAACCCATTCACTTCTTCCTCTGAAAAGCTCTTCCTTGTGCTGATTACTTTCTCACTCGGGGCCGACCTTATACTTCTCTCACACATCGAAAGGAGACGTTCCATTTCCTTCATCTCCGGCTACCAGTCCTGTCTTCTGTTACCTCTTGTGTATGAGAGCCATCCCTCATCTCTGGCAACTACTATACATTTACTTTTCTTCTTTTCTTGAGTTTAAGAGAACGAGCTTTGTTTCTCAAGGTGCTCTTTCTCTTGTTCTGTGTCCGACCACATTTTTCACGTCTCTCGTTGTGGTCTCGCTTTCTACAAACAATATGCCAGGCGATCGTGTAAGAGCAGTCCCCATTATTGACTACCGTGCTGGGAAGAGATTAGGAGATTATTCTAACAGCCAGTTTAGGGATCCCGCTTCTGTCGTTTCTGCTTTCGACAAGGACACGAAGATACCCAATGTCACTATCTCACCTTGTGCCGTGGCCTTTATGAACTAGTACGTTGAACTGGTTTGTCATAGTGCGACTACTAATCCTTGTGCAGTCTCTCATGGTCTCGAACCGACCTGGAAGCAGAATAGGTCTTACTGAAACTCGGGGGGCGCTCGACAGACTGGCCAACCGTCGGATAAGAAATAGACGCCGAAACATCAGACGCCGCGAACGTGCCCGAGCTCAGATGACGAATGTCGTAAGTACTCCGTGAGCTTATTGTCCACATTGCACCGTGCTGAGTACTTCCGCTCAGGCGAGGCGCGGAAACCATGCCTTGAATATTGTATGTACATGCAGCTATTTGGCGGTGGCTAGCCATGAACTTATGCTAAGACGTCCGATATAGAGTCGCCGTGGTCCTGTTCATGCCGCTGCAACATCTCAGAGGTAAGACGCATAATCGTTTCTTGGGATATGGCAACTGATGAAATAAGAGTTCAATCTACTACGGTTAGACAGCCTGTTGTTCCCGCAGCTGCGTAGGTGGCCCATGATCCTTATCCTTATGTCCTCACTAACAAAGCTGGTTAAGACCGACCTCTGGCAATGCAATTGCTCAAGACACTCCGGGGGAACAAGTGGCACTGCCTGTGCTTCACCCACTGAGAGTACCTGTCCACGAGCCAGAGCGTGTATCATCAGTCGCGACTGCGACCAGGTATGTTGTTTCGAAGCTACGCTACTCGAAGCATATTTATCTGACTGACTTATCAGTGACACGGACGTAACTATGGGATTCGAGTAAGTATAATACGAATTCTAGGTGTTGATCTCCGCAATAACACGCCAGTAGAGAACCCAACATCGGTGGCATGGCAGTAGATGCTAGGTAAGCCGCCATGTGGAGTATGGCCGAGAATTTTACTGATTGCAATCCTCTATAGTCAACCACAACCCGTCGATGATCTCATCAGTTTCGATACACTCGACACAGCTGAGGACGAAGTCGTGGTGATATCTAGCCATACTAGTGATATCGTCGAAAGCCACTGTGGAGAAATATTCACGATTGTGTAACTGGGCTGTAGTTACTATTAAGTACTACGTTGCTATGGTAAAGACACGTGTGCCTGTATCAGATCTATCAGATTTCGCTGACGCTCTGTGTTTGTCATGAATGCCGTGGAGTGTTTTTATTGCTTTGGGTCGAGACATGAGCTAATCTCGAACCTATTGGTCACGAAGAATTGCTTTGAACCATTGAAGGGGATATGTGAACCAAGTTGTATCTAGACCAGAAAAGCCTGAGAGGAGTTATCACATTGTGCATATTACTTAGGTACGACCAGTATTTATGTAGTCACTGGAGACAGTATGTATGCAGGAGCTACTGGCCTGATGGGGGCCTGAGGAATAGAGCAAGGACAGCTATAAGGCGGTCACCAAGGCGGTGAATACAGCCCAGGCAGCTACGTCGATAGATCGGGCCAAATGATGCGGCCGTCGGTGACCTTTGCGATAGATCATCTCACCCGCACATCCCACCCTGCCGGCTTGCATGCTGCTATTTTGATTTGCAAATTGCCCTCCATACTGCTTCGTGGCCGACCTTGCTGGGTCACCATCTACGAACTTGAAGGAAGCCGTTGTCTGACATCCGCGGACGCCTGCGCCTCGAAGACCCGCTTGTTCTCCACTTTTCCTCTACCTGTGCGGCGTTATCGCACTTGATTGACTGCATTTCAACATCAGGAGTCTCGTGGATACTCGACTACACTGCCGGAGACTACGGACAGGACAAGCCTCTCCTTTCGACTCGCTACTGGTCCCATCCATCGTTCTATAATACCTCGCGTGTCAGTAGCCGAAAGCCGCACGGAGCTGACGACATGGAGTACATGCAATCAGACCCTTTCTATGGGGCTGTTCCAGCCCAAAGTGCTGGGTCAGTCACTGGCGCCGGGGGTGTGGATTTGGAGTCATTGAACGGAAATGTAGCAGGTCCTATGGTGAAAGTAGATGGTATGCTGCCTCTATCGGATTAATTCAAAGGAATGGCAATGAATAACCCTCATCTTCCAGATCCGCCCAAGTTTGAACTCGAGTCATATATTGCGAACTACACCGGTATGGTTATGCCTTTGATCACAGGCGCTTCGTGCTGTGGCTAACCCGCTCCTTACTTCTAGGCCGGACCAGATTTAATCGACTGTTCCTCATAGGCACATGCTCCACTTATCTCTCTGTCGAAGCATTGAAGGCTGCAGTTGCAGAAGCCAAAGGCGGCAGGGATGTTTCGAGATACGAAAACGCTGTTCGGGCACTTGCCGAAGTTGCACCTAGTGACCCAGAGGCAACTCTTGATAAAAATTGGGTGGATCATATGAAGAAGTCTGTCAAGGCGGAAACAGATCGGCTAGAGCACGAGCTTAGAGGTTATAAGAACAACTTGATCAAAGAGAGCATAAGGGTACGTTACAACGTATTTGGCAGGGCGACAAACTCTTTCTAATTGCTTTATAGATGGGCAACGAAGACCTCGGGCAACATTACAATCAGATAGGCGACCTCGTGTCGGCTTCCAAAGCATATTCTCGTATGAGGGACTATTGCACTACACCAACCCACATTGCGTCGATGCTGTTCAAAATTATTAATGTTGCAATTGAGCGCGGCGACTGGCTTAGTGTGCAGTCGAATGTGCACCGGCTACGCAACCTGCAATCGAAGCCAGAGGAGCAAGCCAAAAACCAGCCCAAGATGTCTGCTGCGCTGGGTCTCTCCCAGCTACACTCCGGCGCATACGTGGATGCTGCCAACAGCTTCTTGGCCACCGAGCCGAGCTTAGGGGACTCTTACAACGAAGTGCTCACCTCGAATGATGTTGCAGTATACGGTGGGCTTTGCGCCCTGGCATCAATGGACCGGAATGAGCTACAACGTCGCGTGCTCGACAACAGCTCGTTCCGCAACTTCCTTGAGCTGGAGCCGCACATCCGCCGGGCGATCTCATTCTTCTGCAACTCTAAATTCCGAGCCTGTCTCGAAATCCTAGAAGCCTACAAGGTCGACTACCTTCTCGACGTCCATCTACAGCGCCACGTCAAGACACTATTCACCCGCATCCGCACCAAGTCTATCCAACAATATCTCGTTCCATTCAGCCGCGTGACCCTCGAATCCATGACGAAAATGTTCGCTCCGGGAGTCATAGGCGGCCAAGCCGACCCCACGGACTCCAGCTCGCCCTTTGTGCAGGAACTCATCGAACTAATTCAGGATGGTACTCTAGACGCGCGCATCGACTTGGAAAAGAAGGTGCTGGTCTCTAACCAGGTCAACCTGCGTACTGACGTCCAGCAGTCCATCCTGGACAGCCTGGATAACTACATCCGCGAAGCACATATTCGCGTTCTGCGGACCAACATTATCCAGGCTGGACTGGAGGTCCGCGCAGATGAGCGACGACCGAAAGACGACCGGGGAAAGGGTGGGGAGGCATTTGGCAATTTCCTTCCTCGTGGTCCGGGGGTCATGTAATGCTAGCCAGCCAGTCGGCCAGTAAATGAGATACGACAAAGATTATCAAAGTACCATTAGCCACGAAATTCCTCGTCTTGTACGACAACCTCGAATGGTTCACGTAAGGATGTACATCAACGTTATTTATTTCTTACCTTGTCAATAAGAGGAAACCTAGCAGGTGAGATAGATCACTCGTAGCAATCAGTTTCTTGGAGAAGAAGCCTTTCTTCTTGTCCTCCAATTAGAGGTTGTAGTCTAATAAGAAGATTGATTACCTCCTATTCGTTGGGCCCCTGGATCTTTCTAGGGCCGGAGGATTCCGAGAACACACCAAATAAATCATGATTAATAGTATTAGAAAGCCTTCATCCCGTCGGTTCTGTGAGCAATTAGGTCTAGTTTCTATTCACGCTCTATTTCTGCACGTCTGTAGATGGGGTGTATGGTCCTGTCTATCGTCTCGTCGTTGTGGTTTGCTGTATATTAGTAGTACTAGTACTAGGGAGAAGTCTAGAACATGCTTATGTTAACTTAGACCTAATACCCCCCTATTATCTAAGTATTCAAGCTACAGAGCGCAGTTATACCTACTTACTAAACATCTTGTCTCAGCTTGTATGATAATGGTTGACATAATAATATTGAGTGATTAGAATCATAATAAACACATCAATAAGGGGAATAGTAATAAATAGATAGACATAAAGAATAAATAAAAAAAGAGAAAAAGGAAAAATCATTCTTCACTTGTGATACATGAATCAAACCACGCCTCATTTTCCATCCAGCTTGCGCGCGCAGATCTAGATGCAGAAGTTTATATGCTGATATAGTGTATGTGTGTATATCCTTCCTGATATACTATAATACTCGCTTTGCTTCCAAATCACGAACACCACTCACATCAACTTCCTCAACTCAATTCATATATATGTATGTGAGTGAGCTAGCTTAAGCCATAGCCAAAGCAACCATCATGGCAGCACCACCGGCAACCCACTGGCTAGCACCAGTAGCGAACGCACCACTGTCACTGGTGGTAGTAGCAGCGCCAGTAGAGGAGGCAGAAGAGCCAGAAGCATCGCCCGTAGCAGAGGCGGTGGAGCCACTACCGGTGGCAGAGCCAGTGGCAGAGGCGGAGACAGTGGAGGTGATGGTGATGGGGACCTTGTTGAGCTGAGTGGTGGTAACACCGCTGGAGGAGGAAGTCTGAGTGTCAATGTTGAAGGTGAAAGCGCAGGAGGCGACAGTGGTGCCGGTGAAGGCGCAGGCGGCCTCTTCGGAGCTGTTGTTTTAAGCGTAAGTATACATATGGTTTACGGGTTTGGGGTCAGGCATGTGGGTTAGCTTACAAGGCGGTACCGGAGGTAGTAAAGGCCCAGGTGCTGCTGCCGACAGTCAGGGTCTCGCCGCTGTCGGGGACATTGCAGCTATCGTTGAAGTTATCATCGTCATCGTCCGAGCTGGAGGCGGTGGTAGCACGCTTGACGACGGCGGCGCTGGTGGTTGCGGCGGTGGCAGCGGGAGCGCTGGTCACGGAGCCGCTGGCCGTGGCGGGGCAGTTGATGACCAGAGTGGTGAGGTCGCCGCCAGTCTAGATAGGAGTTAGATCTGGGGAAGTATAGTACGGAGAAGAGGACGTACGGTTCCAATCAGCTTGGCGTTGTAGTTCTCACCGCTGGCGGAGGAGGGCCAGAGGACCGAGACAACATCGTCAGCGACGACGGTGGAGGCAGTGGCCAGGAGGGCCAGAGAGGTGGTCAATTGAAGACGCATGGTGTGTGATTATATGGTTTAATTAGGGAGGAGTGTATATAGAGCTGTATAGATGAGAAATGGGAGGAGAGAGAGTAAGACTTGGGAGAAAGAGGAGTAAAAGGAGGATGGAAGAATTGATTTGGATTGAGACTGTCTTGGAACATGCTCGCTGGGCATGACGAGGTAAATAAAGGCCCGCCAGAATGGGGTCCAGGGCAATGGGGGCGAAATCCATATTTTTTTCTGTCCCCTGGCGTGTTGGAAGGCAGACGGGCAAATGGCGGCGAGGCTGAGAGGGATGGAGATGGACAGGGTCTGGCATCAAGCGCTGTTGGGGGCGCAGTCAAAACACCGCAGTGCAATTGCCCAATTGGCCATGGTCAGGAAGCAGACCCTCTCGCACTAATTGACGCTGAGAGGCTAACAACTCAGCCTAGAGAAAGAAGAACCTGTAAGCGCTGACGGACGGAAGTTCTTGGATGTGGTGGTGGTGGTGGTGGTGGTTGTCTGGTGGAACTGCTGATGGAGCCGGGGAAATTAGATGGATCGAGGATCTCCCTCAAGGTCATGGCAAGTGTTTCTTCCGCACCCACCATCATCATAAGGTGATTCGATTCTACATGAGTCTTCCTTTTTGTTCAATCTCAACCTCCTGATCTCTCACTGAAACGGAGGCACGGCAGCCAAACTGGGGCCGGACGTGGGGGCCGAAATTCCTCGTTTCAAAGCGCCGCAGCAAACAAATACTCATTAGAGATGTTTAGTCGAACCGAGCGACGGTAGACTACATGCGCCAGCTGCGGCTTATTATTGTTCACGCTAAGCAAACCCATACTAAACATTCTAGCAGCCAGGCTAATGAATAGAATCCCTGTCTTCCACACAAAGAAACACACAACCATGGAGACGCTACTACACACCGAACCCAGCTGGTCCAGCGGATCTTGAGTGCCCAATGAATCCACTCACCAGGCCTGCCAGCAGCAATGCCCCATTGAACCCAGCCATGATGTAGAACGGTGCTCCCGACGACAGCACATCGAACAAGAGCCCACCCAGCTTGGTCAAGAGCAGGATACCCGCTCCACCGTACAGGGAATACACCCCAGCAATTGATCCCTTCAAGTGCGAAAGGTGCCGCTCTTTCCGGCCGGGACGATGGGTCATGAGAGGTCGGTCTTCTCCGTGCTCCTCTTCCTCGTCGTCGACTGGGTTGTTCTCATTGTTGTTCTCATTTTCATCCTCATCCTCACCCTCATCCTCGCTGGGTTCACTCGGGGTACTCCATAACTGGTCGTCCATCCTACCTACCTCGCTCAAACTGAGAATGCCGCTGCTCAGTACTGATAAACTGCAGACAATCGCTCCAATCTGGCTGATACCAACCAGGCCCNTCACTACAAATACACCGGGGCTGCCATACTCCCCATTGAATTCCGGACTCGGTAGCAAGGCAAAGGTGGTATAGCCCACAAAGCCTGCAAAGCAAGCTGCCAAAAGCGGCACGTGACGGCGCCGCGATCGCTCCGACAGATAGCCGAAGGCTGGCGCTGCAAGCAGCGCGACTAGCTGAGAGACCCCTGTTAAAATCGAAGCGAGCACGTAGGCTTTATGGCATGATTTCTTTAAGTCGCCAGGGTTCTCAGCCTCGCCATCTTGGCTCCCGCACAGCCCCGACATGCGATAATAGTGGTTAACAGCGAGCGGGATGAACAGCGAGATCCCCACGGACGACGCACGCGCCACGAAACCGCCCAAGTAACCCAGAAATATATCTGAATTCCGGAACCCCAAGGCGAACGCAATGCCCAGCTGCTCGAGATAAGGCAACTGGAATTTGCGAGCATACGAACACGCCTCGCCGCTATCCGGCGTCCCGCGCCGGCGTGCGGACCATAACACGCTCCATGATTTGCCCTCTTCTCCGGGGAGGTTCCTCAGCCCAAAGAAACAGAGGATACTGATAACTAGAGATACCGCAGCCACGAGATAGTAGCTGCGCTGGATAGCTTCTGCTGGTGAGAGACCCCATTGCTGGAACCGAGCTGGAAGGGGGAGGAAGACAACGAGAGCAACGAGCGCACCACATCCGGCACACATGCCTACAAATCCAGCCAGTCGGGAGGATGAGCTCGTACTCGTCCGAGAGTCTGATGTAGATTTATGCTGTGACGACGAGTGTGAGCCGGCTACGGCTGGAAGAACCGCCGTGACCATCGTTGATACTGCGGCGCCTCCAAGACTGAACAACAGTCTTCCCAGGAGTAACTGGGGGTAGACATTTTTTGCCTGGACGAAGAGTACCAAGGCAAGAGCCACGATAGCATAGCCGGTAGTGCAGACCTGTGTAAAAGATACAATGTATGAGAAAATTTACAAGTGAACTGGCCTTTGGGGCGGGAAAGTAGCAACAACGGATGAGCGCTTACATGACGGACGCCGATGCGATCCGACAGCACTCCCCACAAGGGGCAGGCAACCAGGGCCAGCAGTTCGTCGGCAAAGCCCAAGGTTCCGACCGCATCACCTTCTCCATTACGGAGTCCAATTAATTCCGTGACGACAAATGAGATGGACGAGTTGATGAAGACCAGGAATGCGATCGAGAATGGACACACGCCAAGCAGGTAGGTCCATGTTTGCACGCGGCTGGCCGTGAATAGTGTCCGTGGAGAAACCATGGTGAGATAGACAGGGGAGAGAGAACTTTAGCTCATTCCGGCTTGAATGGAAGTCCAAACTAATGGAGCGGTTCTGTCGAGCTGTTCGGCTTTTATTCAGATCCTGCCCAGTATTTATTTATACTGTCTGATTGATATGATCTGGGCTTTTCATCCATCGAAGCTGATGATCGGTGACCGATGACGGAGCTGCCTTCACACCGGATGCCGGCCAGCTCTCTGTCACCTGATCAAGTGGAGAGGAAGACGAGTAACACGTCAATAATAAGCTTCGAGAAGCTTTCAGACTTCTCTACACAAAGTCCGTATCTGGTCTCGGGACTTGCATTATCCTAACAGATCCCATCAATTCCCTTTCCCAATTGTAGATAAGTCGATCATCAATTCATCCAGCATGGAGAAGAACGAAGACCAAACGCCGAAAGAAGCAATAGACAGTCAGCTGCCAAGGCGGTGACTCCAGGATTGGTAACATTACGCCGTTCCAGGTACCGGGCGATACCGAGTAGTAGATTAGCTGTCCAGAACATCTCCATTCATTCATCCATCCATCCATCCATTCTTCCCTCCATCCAGACTCTTTTCTCCACGCGATCTTCCTCATCTTCTTTCCCTCTCAGTGATTTCTGTTTCCCCCCTTCTTTCTAAACGTCCTATCAATGTTCTTTTAGAGAGTTCACCAGCATAGCTGCTACACCCTTGTTCATGACAGCGGGCATTGCGCCCACCCTCCTCTCCCCGTCGCCATGAGATTGGCCGTGTATGCTGGGGTATGTCGCTCAGAGATTGCTCCGTTGTAGATCCAGTCTGACTTGTCTCCATAGGCCTCAGCCGCCCTGGCCACTGGCGTCTTCCTAAAAGCGCTGCATCAGAGAGCTAACTTCTATGCTGCATGCGTATACCTCTCGCAGAGCAGTGCAAATCTCATGGTAAGCTTTCCCCGCCCCCGGTTCCAACAAGACCCCCCTCGGCGCGCACCCAACGTTGGAAGTGCCCCGATTCTTCTGTATCACCGCTAACGTGGTTTTGCTTAGATTTTGATGAACATTAGCCTGTTAGCGGTCGGGTTCTTTTTATTCTGGCTTCAGCGTCTCCTCTACGGACCCCTTCGACCCATCGAAACGGAACAGCTCTACGAGAAAGCATGGTTCGCCGTAACAGAGACATGCTTGGCAATGACGATTTTCAGAGGAGAGTTAGGCGGTTGGTTTCTAGTCATGTTCGTGTCATTGCTGGTTGGAAAGGTCTGGGGCTGGATCGGCGAGGGTCGGGTCGAGTTTCTTGAGCAACAACCCCCAGCGAATCCGCGATTGTTCCACATCCGACTTGCAGCCTCGCTGCTCCTTTCAGTTCTCTTCAACTCGCTCATGCTGAGATACTGCGTCCTTACCGTTCTCGAACAGGCACGGCCCGATATGATGGTCATGTTCGGCTTCGAATTCGCCGTTCTTACCATCCTCTCCAGCTCGACTGCCGCCCGCTACGTCATTTCATTGGTCGAGATCTACATTACCCATGTCCAGATGAAGGCTAAAATCGAGGAGCGCCGTCGCGAAATTAGAGATGCCAGGGAGGAGTCGCTGCGCCAGTACGCCGAGGCGGGGGAGACTGGGGATGCTCCTAACCTGCCGGATGAAAATGATATTGACGAGATGGAATTGGATGTGCCTGGGTGGGAAGAAAAGGGCCGCTGGATCTTCTACCTCGACCTGCTTACCGACTTCCTCAAGCTCACCGTATATCTCACCTTTTTCGCCATCCTATTTACATTCTACGGTCTTCCATTACATATTCTGCGCGACGTCGTCGTTACTATTCGGTCTTTCGGACGGCGCATCATGGATTTCGTGCGCTACCGCAACGCTACTCGCGACATGAACGAACGCTATCCCGATGCCACCGCCGAGGAAGTTGCCCGTGAGGAGGTTTGTATCATTTGTCGCGAAGAAATGACCCATTGGCACCAGCCGGCGGGCGCGCAACAGCGCAACCGGGTCTCTGAGCGGTTGCGCCCAAAGAAACTGCCTTGTGGTCACATTCTACACTTCGCCTGTCTTCGGAGCTGGCTTGAGAGACAACAGAACTGCCCCACCTGTCGACGGCCAGTTATTGCGCCACCTCGGGCCCGGGGGGCTGGCGACGGTGGTAACCAGAACAATGCTGGTGCACAAAACATGGCAGCTGGCAACCAAGCTAGAGATGGACAAGCAGACGGACTACCCAGAGCGCGTGTTTACCAATTCGGGCCTTTCAGAGTCGGTTTCGGCGCGGGCAGGGGTGACCTCTTCCACAATCTTCACCAGCAGATCCATCAAGGCAATGCGCCCGTGCCACAGGCCAACAACGTCAATGCCCCGAATGCCAGGCAGATTGGCTTCGGGTTCGGATTCGGACGGCCTCTTCCAGTGCCAGCCCCGCACGCTGCCCCCAACCCTGCCTCGAACGTGGCCAACATGCAAACCCAATTGCAGCAGATGGAGCAACAGATTGTCCAGGAAATCGAAACGCTGCGTGTCACTGCCGACCAGCTTCATCTGGTGCGGTTACTGCAGACGGAACTCCAGCGGCTTCGCAATCTCCAGGCTAATCCCACTACCCCACAAAATATCGCGTTCCAGAACTCTCCGGCCGTTTCGTCCTCGACTTCTTCTGTTACTATGCGCCGTCAGTTCATCTCGGACCCACAGATGCCCGCCATGAATGCCGGAGATAGCCGACTTCCCGAGGGTCTGAGCCTCCCTGCAGGATGGTCTCTCATCCCCCTTCACTCCCCGGAGCAGGGTACCAGTCAACCAACAGAACCACGTGCCACCTCTACTGTTCCTGAAACTGAAACAACTCAAACGTCTGACCCTACATCAGACTCTCAGGTCCCTCCCCCGACAGCAACTGTTCCAGCTGCCAGTCAAGACAGTGAGCCTGCGGCTGCCACCGAGCCCTCCACGTCCCAGGATTTGCCTAACTGGCAATCGGGAGCAACATCGACTGCTACTGGATCGGGCGTGGAATCACTCTCCCAACAGTGGACTGATTTAGCGCCCGAGACCCAGATGGACGGCGAGAGCACTACCGCCGACGGCATTGACGGCGCGAGTCACGCCGAGGAATCGGACTCGGGCTCGAAGGGGAAAGCACGGGTAGCAACGGTGGAAGATGTAGTTGATGATGAAACGTGATGATGGGTTTTCTTGACTCTTTCTCCTCTCTGCGATCTTTTCCCATTTTTCTCTTTCCCTTTCCATACCTGGTGTTTCTATCTTGGTTCGATGTATTATCATCTCATTTGGTGTTGTCCCCATCTTATTGGGAAGTTGTCCATTTTACCGGCGTTCTTGAAGCGGCTCCCACTCATACCCTATTGCCTGTATGTTGAATTCCATGGAACTGTGGCTCATGCGTGGTCATTTTCATCTACTACACCAGTCCCGGTTCATTCCACCTTTTGCTGCCCTCTCAGCCCTTGTCCAGCGAAATAGGAGGGTCTCTAATAACCAGGTGTATCTCTGTACATATTAGAAACATGATCGTGACAATTCTTTGGTGTGAATTCCAACTCATTATAGACCTACTAGGACTACGGAGTAAGGTAGACAGTAATGCATGGAGGATTGTACCCACCTTGGGCTGGGAATGCCAAGTGGTTACTCCATAGTTACTATAGTTAGTAGGTGCAACATTACATAGCGTCTGTCAGAACTCTAGCTAAGATTGTACTCCTTACTATCCATATTCCATCTACTTTTCCTTTGAGTTAACACTCAGGCTATAAGCACCGTGCATCGGATCGATCACAAGAATGTCTCGGGGAGGCAAAATCTGATCCAGGGGCAGCGACAGCCAGCCTCCAATCATAATGGCGGGCCAACATCCAACCTGCGCCCGTGGGGAACAAGCGTGAATTTCTCCGGGATGCAAAAAAGCAGGAGTTCCAGCCAGACCCGGTGGCCGGTAACGCTACTGGGGACAGAAAAGGCTGGTTTCCGGTGCTGGATCACATCTGGGTCTCTCGATCTGGTATCTATACTTGACTATCGACCGTTCTGCACGCTGGGAACCAGGAATTGGACTCATTCGACAGGGCCCAAGATCGTCGTCATCAGCGCTGACGCCAGCTCCGCCGCCGCCCGCGTCTCCCACCCGCTCCTGCGCCATCTTTTTGCGTATGCCTCCTTCTAGCTGGCTTGTCCGACCAATCTGTTCTCCTCGTCCAGTCCCTAGTCGCATCAATTCGCCCTACGAACGGCCCTCGTTCCTCCCTGCCCCTCTCTCTTTGGCTCGTGGAACCTTCGACTGGCTGTGGCCGCGCATCTCGCCCTTCGGTTCTTGGAGTTTCGCGGGGATTTTGACAACTGTTCCCGACTGTGCAATATCTCCAATTCCTATCCTTCCATGGCTTCTTTCTGTCTTCTGTAGTGTTTGGATTCACGGTAGGTGATTTCTCCTTGCTTTTGTGCTAGGCATAGATGCTGCTAGACCTTGCGAGCGACTCCTTATGCCTGGCTTCATATCTCGAACAAAACCTCCATCGCATTCGCGCCGTCGCTGATTGAGCTCTTTCGTCCAATCGCAGTTCATCTATCGTTATTTTGTCTCCTTTTTCATACCAACATATCCCGCTATCTTCCATGATTTCCTCGCGCCGGGCTGTGCCCCTTTTTGGCTTTGCCTTCATCCTTTTCATTCTCCTCGCCATCCGAAGCCTCTCGTCACAATGGGAACAAGCGACGCAGGTCGTCGGTTTGGGTGAACTGGCCGCGACTCCGTCCCCATCGCCGTCAGTCCGCTTCAATGTTACCAGGGTGCACGAAGAGCCTGCGATTCGGACGCCGTATGCACCCAAGCCACACTTCATCCCAGGCATCCCCAAGCCCTCTGGGTTAACATACACGAAGACGCTCGTGGTGCCCAAGACATCCGATGAAGATACCAGCTGGATGGAGGTTGAACTTCCGGAGTGGCAAACGGCGATTTATGAGGTTGATGACCCATCAGCACCTCTGCATCCTCCGAAGAATAAGGGTCACGAGGTGATGGTCTACCTGAGTTACATCATCGAACATTATGACAAACTTCCCGACGTCGTCGCTTTCATGCATTCGCATCAGTTCGCTTGGCATAATGATGACCTCTTTGCCGGGGATGCAGCTGATCTTCTGCGCCGTTTGAATCCCGCCTGGGTAGTCCGCCAGGGCTACGTGAATCTGCGATGCACGTGGAGTCCCGGTTGTCCTGCCTGGCTGCACCCTGGCACGCTGGTGGAGGATCAAACGAAGCAAGAGGAGGTTATGCTAGCCAGAGCCTGGGGAGAAATCTTCCCCGATGACCCGATCCCGGAAGTCCTGGCACAACCCTGCTGCGCTCAATTCGCCGTGTCGCGTGACCGTATCCATGCCATTCCCAGAGCCCGCTTCGTATATTTCCGTGACTGGATGCTTCGGACGGAGCTCAGTGACTACATTTCCGGTCGAATTTGGGAGTACTTGTGGCATGTCGTTTTCACTGGAGAGAATGTTTACTGCATCAAGGAACACATCTGTTACTGTGATGGCTTTGGCATCTGCTTCGGTGGCGAAGAGGAGTACGACGCATTCCGAGGCCACCATGCGAAGAAGTCTGAACTCGAGGAGCAGTTCAAGGGATGGAACGTTCGGGCCGACATGATCGAGCTGACCCGCATGAGTGGGACGCTGGGCGAAGAAAGCCACCTGAGTTTCCCGCAGCCAGGCGAGGACCTGACGCTCGCAGATCAAATCGACCTGGAGGAGCTGCTGATCAATGAATTGGTGGTAAATGCTACGGAACGTGGCAAGGACCCTGAAGCACGCGCCCGGGAAGTTGGAAGACCTTGGAAGGAGGGTGATGGATTCTAAGTGTTCTCTCCATTGAGACGCCTAGGATTTATTGACGATGTTTGTCCTTTTTAATTTTCTTTGTTCAAACCCCAACACCTCATAACCTCTCGGTTCTTGGCCGCGAGGGACTATATACCACCATCTTTACCTTCTTGTGTTCATATTTGCCTTTCTGGGGTTCAGGTGGCATGCTGTGATGCCTGGTATAGATACGAATTTTCTCTTCCATTGTGTTTGATATGTTTTCTTGGCCTGCGGTACTTGGGTGATGTGCTGGGATTATGCCAGATCTTGTGATATCCATTGCAGCTAGGACAGTTTGGCAGGCTCCAAATTGAATAATGAAAAGCTTTTATATAACTATCATAGACACTGCATATGATATCGTAGCCATCCTAAAGAGTACTTAGAAGACTAACTGCCTTTACTTGTCAGCGTGGACAGTCCTATTGATGCCTGGCTACCCAGGCATGAATCATGTGATCCGGATCCACCGCGGCTAACTGGGTTGGGCAATGTGCAACAGCGTCTTCCCTGCAGAGTTTGCACTGTCTGCTCCTCCTTCAAACCAGCCAAACAGCGTCATCGGGTTTAACAGTTCTATCTATACAAACTATATCGCCATCCTCGCCTTTTCGCGCGAGACTTTGTTGACTCCTATTGACAGCTGTGGGTTTGCTATTCACTCACGCGCCTCGTTCGCCGCAGGCGACCGTGTTTTCCTCCCTGCCCGGGAGCCCCGGGTGTCCTTCCTAGAAGCTGCGTTGTTTGGCAGACTGTCAACAAGCACCGTCGACGCTCACCCGCACGCGACGGACGCTCCAAAGCGCGGTCCACGAACTACGAGCTGACGACTCGCTGTTTCGGAGTGTTTACCTTGCCTTCAGGTCCTGTCAAACAGGTTTTGGCGCTTGGTTGCCACATAGGATCAACTAATCGAGCTTGTAGCCTTTCGGAGTTTGTGACGGCTTCGCCGCGCGGCACTTCTGTGATATAGCTCTATTGTCTGCGTGGCTCTCTTAATCTCGCTTTGCTTACGTACCTTGGAGTGACTCCTCGCTTCACGCGTTCACGCGATCCGAACTGAAATGGCATCGACTTCTAATTCAAACCATCAACACCCTCCGTCCACTTCGGCTGCCGAGTTCTCGACCAACCCGACCACCTCCGCCAATGTCGACCCTAACACCCACCTCGCAAACAGCGGATATGCGCCCAGTGAGAATCAGCTAGCTGGCTTAGTGGAGGCAGCCACAGCTGCTGCCGGTCAAGAGGTCTCTGACTGGGCTGCTGCTGCCGCTGTCGCTGCGGCGGCGGGGGCTGCGGGCCTCCAGCATCACCTCGAGTATGGTCCGGATACCCACATCGATGAGGATAGTTTTGCAGATGCAAGTTTTGGTGCTGGAATGGGGACGCAGCGGCAGATGCGCGGACCTGGGTCTACCTCTATGAGTGAACATGGCCAGCCCTCCGGTGGGTTGACCAGGGTGCCAACGAAGAAACGGAAGAGGAATGAGGATGCGCTGGATCCGGCCTTGACTGCGGGAGCTGCCGTCGGCCTCGCTGGCACGCATCATCCTCACCACCAACAGCAGCAGCAGCAACATCACCAGCATGCGCATCACTATGGTGGGGAGGGGCTCGGCGTCGCGCCGTCGCAGTCTCTCTCCGAAGCTCGCGCTGTGGGTCTGCATTCCGCCGCAGCCTTGTTCCGCCAACCGTCGAGTAACAAGAAGTACACCCGTCCGCCGATGTCGAAGTTATTTGCGTCGCTGGAACTTTCGCCGGAAAACTTCTTGCATCTGCAGGCGGCGGCTAAGGCATATATGCTCGATGATCGCCATCCGGAACGGCGCGATTGTGTCGGTCAGCGTGGAAAGGGTGATACCGAGATGGTTAAGTTGCGGTTGTGGAACTGCGTGCGTCACTTTCTTGAGGTCGAAGGCCATGGTGAGCGCTTCTTCGGAGAGAACGTGGTCAACGAGGGCATGGGGCCTAGGACATACATCTGGCCCCGGGACCAGCAGAAGATCATCTCTTTGGTTATTCCTTTGCTGCGCCGAATGGTCACAAACGAGCGCCAGCGGCAGTATGCAGTGGAGACTAGAAAAGGTGGCGGCACAGAAGAGCGACGGAGACGCAAGACAGAGGACAGTCTGCAAAACCTGAACGCGACCACCCCGACAGATGATCAACTCCACATGCATTCACACCACCATCTTCCGGACGATTATACTTCCGCACAGACCGGGCTGGGGGCACCACAACCGCAGCTCGGCACCGGGTCTCAGTTGGATCTGGGTCTGACTGATCTCCTGCTGGATGGTTACTCGGCTGACTGGGATTCGTTCTCGAAGTCGTATGACCTGTACAATCATAATTATGAACTTGACAACCTGTGGTACATCTCGGGTCTCCAACAGCCGGATTGGCGTGGACTGGTCGCTGCCATTGATAGCCACTTCCAGGTCATTCACAACGGCGGCTACGACTGTCCGTCACCATGTGAGGATCAGAATTTGCATCGCATTTTGAATGCAGATGCCACGTCGGACCTGCGTTGGCGTGTTGGCGGGAATTCAGACCGTCCTGCCAGAAATGAATTGTATGTTCCCAACATAACAGTCAACAATTTGTGTATATCACTAACAACCCGATAGTGCCAGCAGCATCACCCGTGACATCTCCCGAATCATCCGAGACAGCCTAGCGACACAGCACAGTGTCCATCAATCCCCCCACAGCCAGGCACCAGTGCCCCAGCCTCAGCCCTTCCCTCCTCCCAATTTCCCGCCTCTCCCCAGCGCTGTCTCCGGAAACACCGGCTCTTCTCCGTCTCCTCCAACCAACGTTTCACTCCGAATCAACATCCTACAGGACGGAAAACGCACGCATCCCCGTTTCGACATTCCCGGAAACCAATGCACCGATCTTGAAACCCTCAAGCAACTCATCTCCCGCAAATTTGCCGGCCAACTGCCAGGTCTCCCATCCGAAGTAAACATGGACTGGGTCTCTCAACTTCCCTGGAAATTCAAGGTCTGGCTACCAGATGGACTGGCCCCGGTGCAAAATGACAACGAATGGGCAATGGCCCTAGTCTCAGCTAGTAATGTAGACTGGATGGATGGTGATCTCCGAGTTCTGGTTGAATTGGACGGGACAGCATCGGCGCCGTCGTCTTGATTTCACTCTCGCCTTAAATGCATTGAATAATTTTCTGCGATACATCTTGTGTGTGATGGGTTGTCGATTCTGGCTTGCTTTGCTTTGGTCGAGTTGGGTTTGCGTGGAGTTTCGGAGACAAGGCTTTGTTTTCCCTTGTCCTTGTTCTTCTTGCTTTTGAGTTCGTTGTCATACCCTGGTGCTGGTGGTTTTGTATTGATGATATGCATTGCATGTGATGATGAGATATGATTCTTTTCCAGTTAGTTCAGAACCTGTTGAGATTTGGATGGTGAGGATGGGGATGGACGCTTGTCTGAGTGTATATGATTTCCTAGGTTGAGTTAGGTACTGGACTGGACTAAGTGTTGGGGGGATGATGAGGGGGTTTATTAAATAATTCAATAAATATTCAATGTGCAACATATTCCTTTATTATCTTCTTTTGCCCGCTTATTAGATATTTGTGCAGTAGTTGATTTTCTGTGTAAGTAGGGATAATCAACAGGGTATATGATTGCCTACTCTGAACCCTAGTATACACATCGAACTTATAAGAACAGTTATGTGGTTGGTAGTACTTGGGTTGTTTAATCTATACTGCCAGTATTGCCTAAAAGAAAGAAATATAGTTAGTAGTAGTTGTTAGTCGCTGCTTAAGAAATAGTCATTACCTGATATATATATCTAGTAGCACCTAAAGTTCTACCTCATGATGCATTTTATTCTTGTAGATGGAATAGAATACAATTCAGTAGCATTAGTAGTAATCCTTTTACCTCAACAAATAGTGGTATCTGAATACCCCCTCAGCCAAAGTTGTTCGATATCAGACTTCACAAGTCGTACTCAGTAGTCTTCTTATGGTGGTAAATAAACGGTAGTGATAGTACCAGGTGATCACAAGTATCTTCAAGTTGTTCTTGCTAGATAGATTAATTGATTGAAATGGAGGTGGGTGGTAAAAGTAGTAGTAGTAGTAGTAGTATATACTACTAGCTACTACAAAAACAAAACTTACTTTAATATTCGCGCTATACTCTCCCATGCTTAGGGGTTTTATTGGCGATAACTTAAGTTGTATTTATTATCAGTAGTTCGGGGAGTAAGATAGCAGATTGTAGTTTTCAGGTAGTAGAGCGGCGGAATGAATCCCGCTGTGTCAGTGGTTTAGTTGTTGTAAGTATATATATGATAACAGGTGAAGATTCATGTAGTGCTACGGGTATATGAACATTGATTCTCGAATCGAAGTCCGATGCAGTCTAGTATATATGGAAAGCACAATGAGTGCCTAATCTAAAAGAATGACGCTATGTATATTCACGGACGCGGTAATTTGTCATTTGATTAGCGTTGATTCGTTACATGGGCGACTTTAATATGCCTAAAGTCTAATGGTAAGGCTAGCTGCGGCTAATCACACCGGTATTGAATCTTCGAGCACACAAGTGCACTCCATGGATTCAAGCGCTGTGGTGATGCCAGATGTCAGGAGTCTGTTCCTGTCAAAAGTCCATGTGACTTCGATGATATCCGAGGTCCTGGACTCTTGCAGCTAGCTCTCTTGGGATTCATTTCGTCATTTGTCTACTGTCAGTCGCACCAGCAAGCTGACAGCCTGACCGGCACAAGGCTCCTAGAGTCAGCCTGCAGACGATAGGCGAGGAATGTGGATCCGCGAGCAATCCGAGCAACCGACAAGCGCGCCCTTGCTCCGCTGTAGCACATAAGGTTCCCTCAGCTGAACTCGCTCAAGCTCCGGCAGACTCCAACCGAGCCTTCTTGGCCCGGCGCTTCATTTCGCGCTTGGAAAGCGGTTTCTCCGCCTCTTCGCCTGTTGGCTCCGACCCCACTGATGCTTTCCTCTTCAAGTTGTCACCCGTGGCCTCCTGGGACTTTTTCTGCGCCGGTCCGTCCGCTTTCGTCTTAGCTTCTCCCCCTTCCACAATATCGATGATTCCTCGCCAACTGGTCCGCTTCAGCTTGGCCAAGGCGGTCACCTTCCGGGCTTCCTCGCAGATTGCCTCTTTGCCACGCTCCTGCGAAAGACCCCAAACGCACGCCAGGTTGATCACATCCCATGGTGCCCGAACAGCCAGGGCTCGCTGCGCCTCGCTCGATATGATGATCCCCCGGCCGCGCGTGGCTCGTATTAACGATATCGCATTCCCGATTAGGTTGCGGCGAGCATCAATTCCGCTCCCTGTGATCCCTGGTCCATAGCAGATCTCAAACCGAACCCCACGTGATATAGCAGCGGACACCATCTTGAATTTGAAGTGAAAGGGCAGGCGTATGGAGAAATCCAGGGAAATGATATCACACTCGAGATTGGTGCATGCGTTCAAAAGCGCCTTTTCATTGGTAGGCCTTATTGCGACGAGATCATAAACCTGAGTCAGGCTGGCAAGTCGCTGGTTCTGCGCGGGGTCGGAGAGGGTCAGGTTCAGGCGAGTTAGGAGCGTCAGGCCCTTGGGAACATTCTTTGGTGCAGGCGGGGGAGTAGGGTTTGAAGGAAGTTTTCCACTAATGGACTGGGATAGAGCAACGGTGGTGTAACCAACTGGTTGTCAGGTCAGCGCTTCATGTGGCCGTGAAGGGGGAGGGACCGCTCGGTGATCGGGTCTTGTGCCGAGGGGAGAAACATGACGCACGTTCTGCAAGAAAACTTAAGGTATTGGAAATCTCGGGATCGTCCGAGGCATAGGGCAGGTTGAGATCATAGAACATGATTCTGGGTGTTTTTGCGACGAGCTTAAAAAGCCCGAATGCGCCCGAAAGTATGTTGGAGATAGCCAGCAGAAGCAAAGGAAGCGATCGCGTGCAAAAGAACTGTCCGAGAACGGCAATCGAGAAATCGCCCGGGAATGCAGGATATTCCGGGCCGGCAGGTGATCTAGCCTTCAACGAACGGATCCCGTGACCGCAAAGGCGGAGCGAAACGCTCTTACTAGCCTAAGCCATTCTGATCTCCATCCCCAAAGACAGTCAGTCTAGTTATACTCGCCTTCACCTCTTCCCTCCCTCCTCCCTCCCCAATCGCTGGCTTCGGACGATAGCACGGCTGCCTTCTTGACACAGGCCCCCACCATTCTTGGCCTCGCAGCTGCTGTTGTCTGTCCCCTCCATCGCAATCCTTCCCTCGCGACGACGCCTTTTCGCTCGCCGCCCTTCCCTACCCCGCCGCTTTTTATCATCGATATACGTTTCATTGTGGGCTGACCCCGATTCTGCCTGCCAGCCGCCATCAACATGGCGCGCGTCTATGCCGATGTCAACGAACATATGCCCCGGTCCTACTGGGACTATGACAGTGTGAACATCTCCTGGGGTGTTCTGGAGAATTACGAGGTGGTCCGCAAGATCGGTAAGGCCAATACGACCGGCCGTCATCTACCCGCAAACATTCAAAACGTCGTCCCGGCCGCACGGCGAATGAATCGTCTACGTTCTGTGTGCTAACCACCATTTGGAACAGGCCGCGGAAAGTACTCCGAAGTGTTCGAGGGTATCAACGTTGTCAACTACCAGAAATGCGTTATCAAGGTACTCAAGCCGGTCAAGAAGAAGAAGATTAAGCGCGAGATCAAGATCCTTCAGAATCTGGCGGGTGGCCCCAACGTGGTCGCCTTGCTGGACGTGGTTCGCGACAGCCAGAGCAAGACGCCAAGCTTGGTGTTCGAATATGTCAACAACACGGATTTCCGGACTCTCTACCCGCGGTTTTCCGACTATGATGTCCGTTTCTACGTTTTCGAGCTTCTGAAGGCCCTGGATTTCTGCCACAGCAAGGGCATCATGCATCGGGATGTGAAGCCTCACAATGTCATGATTGATCATGAGAAGCGCAAGGTAGGTCTCCGCTCCAAAGTTATGCTGGCCTCTGCTGATGGAGATAGCTCCGCCTTATCGACTGGGGTCTTGCCGAATTCTACCACAAGGGCACGGAATACAACGTCCGCGTCGCCTCTCGTTACTTCAAGGGTCCCGAGCTTCTTGTTGATTTCCAAGAATACGACTACTCTCTGGATATGTGGTCCCTGGGAGCTATGTTTGCTTCCATGATCTTCCGCAAAGAGCCCTTCTTCCACGGTAACAGCAACTCCGACCAGTTGGTCAAGATCGCCAAGGTGCTCGGTACCGAGGAGCTGTTCGAGTACCTGGACAAGTATGAGATCGAGCTCGACCCTCAATATGATGAGATTCTCTCCCGCTTTCCCCGGAAGCCTTGGCTCTCGTTTGTAAATGCCGAGAACCAGCGCTTCGTTAGCGATGAAGCGATTGACTTTTTGGACAAACTTCTCCGTTATGACCATGCTGTATGAGACATCCCTCTGTTTGTGGAGAGCCCACCTGCTGACGTATTCCAGGAACGCCTTACTGCCCAGGAGGCCATGGCTCATCCGTACTTCGCCCCCGTGCGGGCGGCCGAGGCCCAGGCTGCCCGGAACAACACCACCACCGCTTAGAGATGAACGGTGTGCTGGTAGGACTATTATCATACCCCTACATCTGGATCCTCGCTGTAGCGAGCCATTTTTCTTTCCAGTGTCGTTCTCCGATGTGATAACGAGATTTGATTCGGATGTTGAGTTAGTCTGTGTCTGGAATGGGATGCTGGATCTAATACTATAAAAACATCACAAAACATTGTGCCGCAAGGGCTGGGGGGAAGTTTGTCGTGGCATGAATGAAAGCGCCACGGGTGCGATGAGTTATGGCATACGGAGACGACGATGATGACAGATGACATACGCCTAATATATCTCGACTCAATCCTCTTGGCATACCCCCGTGAGTGGAATCTATGAGACGGTGTTTAGAGTGGGAAGGATTTTCGCTCCCCTGTTTGAACCTGCGTAACCATATAACCTTTTCCCCATACTCTGCGCCTTTCTCGTTTCCGTTGTTCCGCGTGACTAGTTGGTCTGGTGTTGATGGGATCTCGTTTTACATGTGTCTGCGTTGCATTTCAATCTATCGCGTTTTGCCATTTTACTGGCGTTTCCTCCCATAATCTGCATGCCAATTTCAGTTTGATGCGTCATTGACACCGGCGTGAGGACTAGTTTATCTTTGGTGCTCATCTGATTCTGATTTTAACTTCTCCCCATGGGTGGTGTTGTTGGACTAGGCCGGCACTTGGAAGGCCGGCCTGGTCGAGGAGTGCTGGAGGCTACATAGAGCAAAGATGCCTTTCGACAGACTAGACTACGTATGCACAGGCTCTACCAAAGGCACTATACGATGTCACTGGGGAAAATACGTAGTCCATCCTGGTAATGTTCTTGTCTGATATAGTATAAGTAGTGGACGGTCCGGCCATGACATCACGTGACCAGAGCATTGACTCAGACCGGCGCAGGGCGTGCAGGATTTCATCCGCGGAGTTAAGCAGATGAGTCAAAAAAAAAAGACATTGAGAATCCCCAATCGCTGTCCGACATAAAAACCGAGGCTAGTTCCTGTCAGAACCTGACATCTGTCACTGTGCATAAGGGACTACAAGCAGTTACTTTAGTACCAACTTAAGGCAGACTGTGGTCTCCACTGTTTGGGGAAAACAGAGACCTCAGGCCCCGCACCCGGATGCTCTGATTCGTTCCGATCTTTTGCTCTGCGCCAGGAAATTTAATTGCCCGCATTCGCACAACGACCCAACCCCTCCCCCTCCTGCTCTCTCTATCGCCGTTTGAGTCACCGGTGGTCAAGATACTTATCCGTCGGTTCGTGGCGCGATCGGCGCCTTGGAGATTCCCTCCTCCCCTTCCTCTATATCGTCCATTTTCCAGAATGGCCCAGCCCTCTGCTCCCCAAAACCCGAGTACGTTCTTCGTCGCCTTCCAACTTCCACCCCTCTTATCGTTCCCTCCCACCCCCGCGGAGCTCAATGTGACCGACTGACTGACCACCCTGCTGCTTACTTTAGCTGGTGAGCCCAAAGCTCCCGTCGACGTCCCTCCCCAGGCCGACGACCAGTTGCGGAACCAGGATGCCAATGCTGCCGCTCAGCCCGCCGAGGGCCAGAAGGTGAAGAGCGAGAAGGAACGTATGTAACGAACCTCCGGACCATAGGACCAGACTGTCCTGTCAACGCCTGACATCCTGGTGCAACAACATTCTGACAACTCGCTGGTTATCTATAGTGGAGCGTGAACGCCGCAAGGCTGAGAAGGCGAAGAAGTTCGCCGAGAAGCAGGCCAAGGCCGCTGCTGCGAAGACCGCCGCCCCCAAGGCCGAGAAGAAGCCTAAGGTTGAGAAGGAGAAGACCACTGATGCGTACGACCCCAAGGTTATCGAGGCTGGCCGTTACGAATGGTGGGAGGAGCGCGGCCTGTTCCAGCCCGAGTTCGGCTCGGACAACAAGGTCAAGCCCGAAGGTTACTTCGTCATTCCTATCCCTCCTCCCAATGTGACTGGTGCCCTGCACATGGGTCACGCTCTTACCAACGCCCTCCAAGACACCATGATCCGCTGGCAGCGCATGAAGGGCAAGACCACCCTGTGGCTGCCGGGTATGGACCACGCCGGTATCTCCACCCAGAGTGTCGTCGAGAAGATGCTGTGGAAGTTGGAGAAGAAGACCCGTCACGACCTGGGTCGTGAGGCTTTCCTCGAGCGCGTGTGGGATTGGAAGAAGGAATACCATGCCAACATTAAGAACGCCCTTCGCAGAGTCGGTGGTTCCTTCGACTGGACCCGCGAGGCGTTCACCATGGACCCCAACCTGTCCGCCGCCGTCACGGAGACTTTCGTTCGCCTTCACGAGGAGGGCATCATCTACCGTGCCAACCGCCTGGTCAACTGGTGTGTGGCTTTAAACACCTCTCTGTCCAACCTTGAAGTCGAGAACAAGGAGGTTGAGGGCCGCACTCTCCTCGACGTGCCGGGCTACGACAAGAAGATCGAGTTCGGTGTCTTGACTCACTTCTGCTATGAGGTCGATGTCGATGGTAAGACCGAGCGTATCGAGATCGCCACCACTCGTCCCGAGACCATGATTGGTGACAGTGGTATTGCTGTCCACCCCGACGACAAGCGCTACGCCCACTTGGTCGGCAAGAAGGCTCGCCACCCCTTCGTCGACCGCTTGATGCCTATTGTTGCCGACAAGGACGTCGACCCCGAGTTCGGTACCGGTGCCGTCAAGATCACCCCGGCCCACGACTTCAACGATTTCAACCGTGGAAAGGCCCACAACCTCGAGTTCATCTCCGTGCTAAACGACGACGGTACCTTCAACAGCAAGGGTGGTCCCTTCGCTGGCATGAAGCGCTTCGATGCCCGTTATAAGGTCATCGAGATGCTGAAGGAGAAGGGTCTCTATGTCAAGTGGGAGAACAACCCCATGAAGATCCCTCGCTGCGCCAAGTCCAACGATGTTATCGAACCCATCCTCAAGCCCCAGTGGTGGATGAAGATGGAGAGTCTCGCCAAGCCGGCCCTTGAGGCCGTTGAGAAGGGCGAGATCGTCATCAAGCCCGAGTCTGCTGAGAAGAGCTACTACCGCTGGATGACCAACATCAACGATTGGTGTCTGTCTCGTCAGCTGTGGTGGGGTCACCAGGCTCCCGCCTACTTTATCAAGATTGAGGGAGAGGAGAACGATGACAGCGATGGTGAGCGCTGGGTCACTGGCCGCACCGAAGAGGCTGCCCGCGAGAAGGCTGAGGCCAAGTTCCCTGGCAAGAAATTCGACTTGGTCCGGGATCCTGATGTCCTTGATACCTGGTTCTCTTCTGGACTGTGGCCGTTCTCGACCCTGGGCTGGCCCAACAAGACCCACGATCTGGAGAACCTGTACCCTACTTCCGTTTTGGAGACTGGCTGGGATATTCTGTTCTTCTGGGTTGCCAGAATGATCATGCTTGGTATTAAGATGACCGGCCAGGTCCCCTTCCGGGAGGTGTACTGCCACTCTCTGATCCGTGATTCCGAGGGCCGTAAGATGTCCAAGTCTTTGGGTAACGTCGTTGACCCTCCTGGATGTCATGGAGGGTATCCAGACTCCAGGAGCTCCACGCCAAGCTGCTCACCGGTAACCTCGCCGAGAAGGAGGTTGCTACTGCTACCAGATACCAGAAGAAGGCTTTCCCCAAGGGTATCCCCGAGTGTGGTGCTGATGCTCTGCGCTTCGCCCTGGTTTCTTACACTACTGGCGGTACGTCTTTCAGTATATCTTACGCAGAGGAAATCTTGCTAACAATTCTTATTTAGGTGGTGATATTGCGTTCGATATCCAGGTCATCCACGGTTACCGCCGTTTCTGTAACAAGATCTACCAGGCCACCAAGTTCGTGCTTGGCAAGTTGGGCGACAACTTCAAGCCCAAGGCTGCCCCTACCAAGACCGGCAAGGAGTCTCTGTCTGAGCGCTGGATTCTGCACAAGTTCAACCAGGCTGCTAAGGAAATGAACGAGACTCTGGAGCAGCGCGAATTCTCCCAGTCTGCTCAGATCGTCTACCAGTACTGGTACAGCCAGCTCTGTGACGTCTTCATCGAGAACTCCAAGTTCCTCCTGGCAGATGATGTCCCCGCTGAGGTGCAGGAGTCTGCCAAGCAGACCCTCTACACCGCTCTGGAGGGTGCTCTGACCCTCATACACCCCATGATGCCCTTCGTCACCGAGCACCTCTGGCAGCGTCTGCCCCGCCGCGAGGGCGATGCCACGATCTCGATCATGAAGGCCAAGTACCCCGAGTACACTCCTGAGTTCGACGACGTCGAGGCTGAGACTGCCTACGAGCTGATCCTCAACACCTCCAAGGCTGTTCGGTCCATCATGGCCCAGTATGAGATCAAGACCAAGGCCGATGTCGTCATCCAGACCTACGACGCCACCAGCCACAAGACGATCGCCGACGAGCTCACCAGCATCAAGTCGCTTGGTGGCAAGAACCTGGGTGAACTCAGCGTGCTCGGCCCGGAGAACACCGTTCCTCCGTCGGGCTGCGTTGTGGCCCCCGTCAGCTCCCAGGCGGCCGTCTACCTTCGCGTGTCTAAGGAGGTGGCGCTTGAGCAGGAGCACAAGGCCAAGGCCAGTCTCGAGAAGGCGCGCGAGGTTGTTGGCCGCCAGCAGAAACTGATCAGCGGCGCTGGATGGGAGAAGGCCAAGCCCGAGGTTCGCGAGGCCGAACAGAAGAAGCTCCGCGATGCCGAGAGCGAGGCCGCTCGATTGGAGGAGCAGATCCGCGAGTTTGAGAAGTTGCGGTTGGAGTAAATGCTCTGAGTAGATGGGCTTGGAGTAGATATTAGTGATACACATACAATTGGATTTAGACACCAATTTTACAGTTTTCTTTTCTTTTTGTTCATTTCGATGGATGTTGTATGTGTTGTGGTGATCGCACGTGATCAGATTAAATGTGTCCCATGAGTGACGGATAGTTATGTCACACAGCTTTCTCTTAGGGAGCACACATGTAATTCCTTAACCATGAAATCGAAAGTATCAGTATGTAAGATAGAAATAGAAGCGTCCTCAGTGGCAGGAGCATTGATGTTGGCGTGGAGACAATAAGCTTATCGATAAGCGACGCCAAGCCCCATCCGCCAAAAGTTTTTGCTCCGCCTTTTTTCATTTTCCGCAGCGAACTCCAGCATTTCTCAATCTCCTCCACTGCCCCAATCTCTTCCCATCCGCCAAGATGCTCCGAGAAGTGTACGTCGATATCATGCTCTACTGCTATAATGGATGCGGCTAATGAAAGTATTCAAATAGAAAACCCAAGAACGCGCGCACCGCGCGCATCCTCAAAGCCAAAGAGCCGCAACTAATCGAGCCCCCGAAACGGACTCTTCTCCTTCACGGATCGAAATGCCCTCAACCGCTGCACACGGTGCTGAAGACCTTCCACTCGTTGACTCGGCCTAACTCGGTTCTATTCCACAAGAAGAATGCCAACATCCACCCGTTCGAGAGCGTTGAGAGCCTGGAGTTTCTGGCCGACAAGAACGAGTGCGGTATGGTTGTGTTCGGAAGCAGCAACAAGAAGCGCCCTAACTGCGTGACGCTGGCTCGCGTGTTCAACTCCAAGATCCTCGATATGTGTGAGCTGTTGTTGTTGCCGAATCAGGATCAGACCGCTGGATTGGAGAGCCTGCAGATTGGTATCGGCATGCGGCCGATGTTGTTGTTCTCGGGCAGTGCGTGGGATGATGAGACGTCGACGGCGCATGTTATGCTGAAGAGCATGTTTGTGGATATGTTCAAGGGAGAGACGAGTGACAAGATTGATGTTGAGGGGTTGCAGTACGTGTTGATGGTCGGAGCGGAGGAGGCCACGGAGGGGTTGGCGCCTGTTGTGCACCTTCGGTGGTATAAGTTGCGGACGAAGCGCAGTGGGCATAAGTTGCCCCGTGTGGAGTTGGATGAGATTGGTCCTAAGTTTGACTTCAAGGTCGGACGTTTGCAGGAGGCGCCGAGGGAGGTCATGAAGGAGGCGATGAAGCAGGGTAAGAGGCCGAACGAGGAGATCAAGCTTAAGAAGAACATTGGGCTGGATTCGATCGGTGATAAGATCGGTCGCGTGCATCTGGGTAAGCAGGATCTTAGCGGTCTGCAGACTCGCAAGATGAAGGGTCTGAAGCGTCGTGCTGGTGTCGAGTCGGATGATGAGGAGGGTGATGCCGATATGATGGATGTGGATGAGATTTCGGAGGATGAGGGACGCAAGCGGACGAAGACGGCCTGATGTGCTTGATCACTACAGTTTATTCATTTCTTTGATGCGCATACTGTCGTCTACTATTGTCTATCTACTATCTACTATAGTCTACCTCTCTATCGGCGTTCCGGGGGTTTGGATTTCTCTCTTGACTGAGGTCAAAGCAGCTCGCTCGGACCGGTATTGTTGATATGTGATGATGTTTTAGACATGCAAAAAGTTGTTATTCTTCAATATATGATCAACATATCTTCATCATTGTAACTCAGCTACTATATTGTTTATCCTATATAGAAGAAACAAGGTATTCTGTTGTGTCCACGTGACATGACGTTCGGCTCTCACATGCCGAGGATCTTTGGAGCTCGTCGCGGATCTGCTTCCCTTCCTTAAATGCCGACTTTCCTTTCCTTCCCCCCACCATCATTACTTGCCATGCTCCCCTGCCACTCCCTCCCTTATGAAGCAAGCAAGCAGTGCTCCCGGCGACTGCTGCTGCATACTCTCTCTGCTCTTGGAAGCTCTCCGGACGTGAAATAATCTCCCTCATCACCCTCCGCGCTCACTCACCGGATCCGTGCCGAGGTCCGACGATCACAAGAAAGAACAAGATGGATGCTCTAATGGTGAGTATGAAGCCGGTGGTTCATTCCAACGCAGCCAGACTTTGAAGCTTAATACCAGCCTGAGATAATCATGATACTGACCGCAATACAGTCCCGTCTTGACTCGCTAGTCACAAACCCCGATCTTGCGCCCCTCTTAGCTCTCGTCAAAGGTGTGCGCAATGGCGCCGTCTACGGCGCCAAAGTGCGGTTTCCGCATGCTTTAGTGTATGCATATCATACTATATTACCCTTGTTCTTATAGCAGGTTATATAGGTCAAAGCTAATCAGTATGTGCTTGCTGTGCAGAATGATCTTCCTCTTCCGATCCGGAACGTGAGTGCCCGCATTCCTCTTTCCCTCTCTCCCCTCTCCATGTATATACCTCCCAGTCAACACCGGGCAAAACCACGTAAGCTAACAGCAACGATGTCTATCCTTCCAGGATTCGGGAGAAAGTTAAACTCGTTCTAAAAGCCACCCGTCAACACGCTCGAAACCTAGCTACCTTCGCACTCATCTGGAAGGGCGTCATGCTCGCACTCCGCAACGTTAATCCCACCACTGGCGGAAAGGAAGGCAGATATGATAGTTTCATGGCTGGGTTAGTAGGAGGATACGTGGTCTTTGGAAGACACAAGACGAGCATTACGCAGCAGGTAGGTTTCCCATGGAGTCTGGGAGATAATCAAAAATTAATGGGAGTCTAGATCGTCATCTACGTCTTCGCGCGCGTTATGCTCGCAATGGCCAAACTGGCCGTTCGGCCCAACATGCACCCACTCTCGTCGTCGATTACTCCGGATGCGAGATCCAAGATGGAGAGTAATGCCTGGCCGGTATTTGCCAGTTTGACATGGGCCTTTGTCATGTATATTTTCCGGTGGCACCCGGATACATTGATGTCGAGTTTGAGGAGCAGTATGGTGTATATGTACGTTCTGTTCATTCTCCATAGGCCTTGCGATAGGCTAGTTAAGTGGGCATATGCTAACTCTTACAGATACGCCGACTCCGATCATTGGGATTCGTTCCGCAATTTCTTGATACACAACAAATAGAGGTGGTGAGGAGTGTATCTGGGCTAAGCACTTTGGTTGTTATTCTTGGTTTGTTATATGCTCATTGGGTTGTCACGTTCACGGGGCGTATAGATTGGTGTCAAGGTTGGCATTGTTTTTTCTTTTCATGTTTATGCTTAGGGTATTCTTCTCAGAAACTCGAGCCCTCCCGCTGGCGGATAGGGAGTTGGTGGTGGTGATGGTGGTAGTGTGATGTGGTATAATGATAAGATAGAAAGAGATAGGTAACGGTGGTTGTTGAGGTATCAGACTGTCATCCAGATCATAACCCGAATACGAAGTATCTTCGATCTACAAAACAGTCTACACACCTAACTACTACCCATTATCCCGAGAGTATCTCAATTTCTTCCCTCAAAAAAAAAAAAAAAAAAAAAAATCGACCCAAACAAACCAACTCACCCTTCATGATCACTCCACAGGATCCAACATATATAACACCTACACTACACCCACCATCTCCAAACACGCCCGACTCGGCCACGCATTCTCCGTCCCCAGCATCCTGAAGTACTCCACTACGCGCCACTGATCCCCTCGTCCTGTGAGGAATTGTGCTCCTATACTCCAGCCATACATTATTAGCCCCAGACTCAATCATATATCTACAAAATGGATGGTAGGTATTCACCCATAGCGACACAATGAGATGCATTAATCCTGCATCCGAAGTGGTCGTTGGAGAAGGAAATTGCGCAGAGGGCGTGAACGTGGGGGAGGATGGTGGATTTGAGATGGTGGTGGTATGTTAGGGTGTTGGTCGTGTTGATGTTAGTGTGTGGTGGTGGGAAGTGCGAAGCGAGGAGGATTTTGGCTGTGTGGTAGAATTGGAGGCCGACGACTGTTATTTCATTTCATTCAGTATTGTTCGTTGTTAGCTGGGTGGATATGTGGAAAGGAAGCTATCATGTAACTAGCTCTCTTCCGTGAAGAAGTCGGGAAAAGAAGGATGGGGAAGAACATACTATGCCACGGACAAAGCAACCTAATCACCGGGAAGGAGTCCCGTTCCTGCTCCTCATAGTAATACGGTTCAAACGTATCAGGCACATTCATCCTCCAGGCATCAATAAGCTCATCTAACTGTGCCCTCGGCAACAACCCCGGACACTCACGACCAAAACAGTGATTAATAGCATGAACGAGCAGCCACGTCATCCTATTTGCCCAGTCAGCGTCTGTCTCGGGATAACTCTCGTCGAGTGGCCAGCTAGCTACGGAGATCTTGGTGCTGCAGCGGCCGAGAATGGCCATGCGGATGTCAGCCCGTACGTAGGAATAGAAGGTCGCTTGTAGGAGACCCCCCGTGCGAGTTGATGCTTGCACAGAAGGGTCGAGGTGCGCGAATGCACCTGGGACTAGGTGGCATTGGCGATCAACGTGATACTCGTCGTATTGCTCGGACATGCGGAGGATGGTGATGGTGGCGAGCACGGCTTCGTCTTGAACTGCTGAGCCTACGTCGTTGAGGATGGGGATGAGGAGGTTGATGCATGTGGATTGGTATCTGTCTTCTTCGGTTGATAGCTCTGTTCGCTCAGGGTTGAGGAGGCGGAGGATGTGGGCGGAGCAGGCCATGATGGCTGTGTGGAGTAGAGTGCATTGTAAAGATAGTCTATGGTTCAGGGGTTAGTGTTAAGTTTGCGTTAACGATGGATATGGACTGGCTGATACCGAGGAACTGTATATGTGTAATGGCGCTCGGGGCTAGTAACGTCGAGCTGTTGGGATGTCAGGATATGATCGTACTATCAGATGGGTGTGTGTACCCAGGGTCCGATGTTTTGCACGAAGAAGTGCAATAGTTCGCCCTCGGCGGTCGTCAGTGCACGAGGCGCATGTCTGTCGAATAGAGGGCACCTGGTGATTGGCGCAGTCGGCGAAGATGTGCCCGGAGTTCGTGGGAGGAATGAAATCGATGCTGCTCCTTGGGACTCGGAGGTAGGATAGCGTATGACATTATGCGGTAGGGTTCTATCGTTTACGGGGAGGGTAGCAGAGACCACCGGGTCAGCAAGGAATGGAGACGTTGATGGCACTTGACTGGTATCTGCCACTACAGGAGGAGATGCGGGGGGCTGTGTTGAGTCTGGGGCGTTATTCTTATCGTTTTGGGTGAACACTTCTGCTTGAGCTACCAGGGTCGACAATCTGCTATGTCGGAAGGCGATGGCCCCAGAGCGACGTTGAGCGTAGCGACAGGAGCGATTAGACTTCGAGCAACGACCACAAACTGGTTGGACACCATCGCCTGTGAGGGATCAGCTCTATAGAGCCAGCATAAGGTCCGAGTTCATAGGGTCCTTACATCGCACCTTGCGCGATTTGCATGTCAGACTGCGTTCTCTTGGTCAGCATACATCCATGCAGTCAAGAGACAACCTACCAGGTCTTCTTGCGCATCTTTCCAGCATTCGGGAGGACGATGGCAATAAGTTTGATGGAAGGACATGCTCGGTCTTTTCTTCCTTTGCGGGGAAGTCTGGAGTAGCCCTGGCTTGCTGCAATGTTCCCGATCAGGCAACTCGGCGCCGAGGGTTGCAAGTATATCAGCTTCATCTGGACTCTGGATGCCTAGCAAGAGGCCAAGGCCAAATATTGCTTGTTGAGCTGGATCTGTCATATAGGCATCATGTACAAAGAGATCATAGTCTTGGTTTATATCTTAATCGTTCTCAGGGTCGTCCTCGCGCCAATATACACCTACCTGCGGGATCCCAAAGGGCTGAAGCGCTTCCCGGGAGTGTCAGTCGCTCCCATAACCGATCTTTGGGGAGTATTGCAGCAATACCTCCGTACGCGCACCCTTGCCGTCCACAAAGCACACCGTAAATACGGCAGCATAGTCCGAGTCGGCCCAACCAACATCTCCTTTTCAACGCCCGAAGCAATCCGTGACATTTACGGCCACGGAACACCAGCGCTGAAAGATGACTTTTACCAGACCTTCAACTCAACTCATCTCAACGTATCCGACGCTCAGGATAGAGACGTTCACAGCATCAAACGAAAGCGATTTGCCATCGCCTTCTCCCAGAAACGTTTTGTAGAGCTCGAGCCTGTGGTTCAAGACCATCTGCAGCGTGTCTTCCACATACTGGACTCTGCAAACGGAAAAGAAGTGGACATGAAGCAGATAATGATGCACCTGATGTACAACCTCATCTTTGTCACCTTCTTCCACCACGACCCCCAGTTTATAGAGCGAGGCAGCACCAGTGTCCCCATCAAGACACCAGCCGGGACCCCATACACAGGCGAGATTCATCATCTGCTCAGTAGCACCTTGCACATCTCCACCAGCCTCGGATGGGCACCACGAATCAGGTCCCTGCTCAAGCATTTGACCTGCTGCCATTCAGGCTGGAAGCACGGCACTCAGCTCCAACACATCACCACGCACTTTGTGCGCGAACGAGTAAACATGGACATTGAGCGCGTGGACGCAGGCCTCCCACCACTAGACGATCTCATGACCACGCTCCTTTGGAACAGAAACCACGAGCGCCCCCTGTGTCTGGAACTGGGCGAACTAGTGACAGAGGCCCAAAACCTCTTCAGTGCCGCCGGCGGGAACACTGAAATTGCCCTGACCAGCATCATCTGGTACCTCGCCGGCAATCCACATATAGTCCGACGTCTTCGTGCAGAACTTGCAGATGCAATCTTACCTCAAACCGATCCATCAGCCCTCATATCATACGACCTCGTCAAGAATCTTCCTTATCTCCGCGCCTGCATCGACGAAGGCCTACGTCTTCGACCCTCTATCCGCGGTGGCCTTCCTCGCGTTGTCCCAAAAGGAGGCATGATGGTATCTGGCGAGTGGCTGGACGAAGGTATCACTGTCTCTGTATCCACGTATACTGTCCATCGTGACCCGGATATCTTCGGTGCCGATCCGGAGCGCTATATTCCTGAGCGGTGGTTGCAGCCTGACGCGCGTGACATGCAGCGTGGGTTTCTGGCTTTCTCGCAGGGAGGAAGGGGATGCTTGGGACGGAATATTGCTTATTTTCAGATGCAGTTGGTTATTGCAGCGTTGGTCTGGAGGTATGATTTCGCGTTAAGGGAAGAGGGGTGGGAGTTGGAGGTGATGGAGACGTTTAGTGCGCATACGGTAAGTTTGCCTGTTGTTGCCACGAGACGGGAGTAGGTTGCGATATTTGGGTATAGAAATATAAATATTGATGATAGGGGAGATATGCTATGTGAGAGTCGTGTTTCATTGTATGGAAGTATTTTGGTCTTGTGGGACAGGCAAATGTTACTGTGATACCTTACAACATACATACACAGTATGTTGAGGAAAATATCAGAGCTCAGACCATGACTGCATTAATCCTCATCCTTGACGGTGGTCTGTACATGAAAGCGGTAGTAGAAGAAATCAATCATGCCATGTCGTGCACTTCCAGGCTATACAGTATCTGCAGACCAACTCAATCACGATGGTAGGAGGTTGATGAGATGGGGGTGATGAGAGGAGGTGTAGTATTGGGTGCCGTGGATTACAATGCTACAAATCTCCGATAGGCTCGCTTCTGTGGTTCAGGATGCAACTATTGAATAACCAAGCTTTCTTAAACTTAGTATAAGCCATCAACTATATACATGCGTTGGGTTTCTGCCCCATGTTCGGCTTTTTCTCAACCCGTGCTGGCAGCGCAGCTACTGCACTTATCCTATGGTTGGCTCAGGAATGCCAGCACACGGGGTCTCCAAGGTACTCATTGGCAGCAGACTCGTAACGGTCCCGTTGGCAGCAAACATCATCGCATACCCATCAGGATGGTACGCAGGCCATCCCATCGCCGGGAGCGCATTGACCGGATCCCGCATGAATGCAAGATACAGATCCTGCCAGTGGGAGGCTACAGCGGTCTCAAAAGGCGTAGCGGGTCCGCCATACTCCGAGTACGTCCCAAACAGCAATGGAAGCTCGGAGCTGTGGTAAGCTCCTTCCCAAGGTCTAGGTGAAATGTTGCTAAAGTTGGCCGTATTGAAGTAGCGGAAGGAGAGAGAGGATGTGTTGTAGCGGAGACTATATTATTGGTAACGATCAGTATGGAGCCAAAAAAAAAAAAAAAAAAAAAAAAAAAAAAAAAAAAAAGGATGGGGTAGACGCACTGCCCGTTGTAGTTTGCCGGACAGAGATGGGTGGACACAGTCTCTTCGTGGACGTAGGTCATGTTTGGACCTTGGGGTCCAGCCCAGGCAACCAGGGAGGCTTCTTCATTGGCATTCGTGCCAAAAATAGCAGGCTTGATGGTGATACAGTTAGCATAGAACGTGGTTCATAGACGATAGCTGCTTACAAGCTTGGAGTAATTTCCTGCATAAGCCCTAGCAGTGTAGTCCTCAAATTTGGTCACATTGTCCACAATAGTCGTGAACTTCAGAGTAGGACCCGTCGAGTACAAGGTGTAGTTCTCATAAAACTGAATGATAGAGTCTGCGCTAACGTTCCTCATGCAAGCCAACTCTGCTCGAGGGGTGAGATCGCCGCAGCCCATGTGCTCAGCTACAAAGGTGAAGTTCGTATGCTCAACGTCCGCACTGGAACCGGTAGCAAAGACACTGCCTGAATGCATAATCAGGCCAGACACAATGGGATCATCGGGCCAAGCGTAGTTGTAGTAGTCCGTGCTGGCTGCTCCAGAGCTCTGGCCCCAGAGGGTTATCTTGGATGCGTCTCCGCCAAAGGCAGCAATGTTGTCTCGAACCCATTCAACAGCAAATCTTTGGTCAAGAAGTCCAAGGTTCAGGTTCTGCTGGATCTCTGCCAGGCCGGCAGCGTTGGGAAAGCCGAAGATATTGACCCGGTAACTAGAGTGCAAGTGATCAGTTTCAAAGCAATCAAGGCGAAACATGCATCACAAATTCCCCAAGGATTTTCACTTTGGAGAAAAAACTCACTTGATGGCAACGACAATATGAGACTGTGTCCTTTGGATCCAGTTACTCGGATCAAAACCATTTGTCAATAGTCCTCCTTCGTAGAACCCGCCGCCAAACATCCAGATCAACACAGGCAATGGTTCGTCTGTGTCATTGACGGCATGCAATGGGCTCCAAACATTGAGAGTCAGGCAATCCTCTGATGTCGGTCCATACGGTTGTAGCCAAGGAGAGTCAAACGTGTACACAGACGGGTCAGTCTTAGTAGTCAATGGATACTGCGGGCAAGATGGCCCGATCTTCGTGGCATCAATGATAGCCTCTGCAGGCTTCGTCTGGGGAGGCGCAAACCGTAGCTCATTCAGAGGAGGTGCTGCAAATGGAACTCCAAGAAACTGCGCAACATCTGGGGCTGAACCATTGACCATGCCATACAGTCGCCCAACAGTCGTATCAACAGTCAGACGAGATACCGCTGCAGTCGCTGCGGAAATCTGAGCTGCAGCAATGATGAAGCCGAAGGCTTTTAACCCCATTTTTAAGCTGCAGTTTCAACTGGGGAGGTTCAATTGGGTCGATAGCAGAAAAGCAACAACCTCAGCGCCATGATGAAGTGACATACAGCCATACTAATACTTCTAAGCTCCTGATAGCATGATGCTTGATGGCCTACTTTTTCCCGAAGCCGTCAAGTTAGTAGATTCTGCATTGGCCGCCAATGCGTCATTTGTGCCGTCAACTCCACATTCGCCGATGGACCACGCGCGGAGAATCCCCGAAAACTGGGGAAGGGACTTTCCAGGGTCTCCCGCATTGGTCCAAGGGGTTGATTCTAACTCTTCAAAGGAATAGTCTGGTGGGATCCCTCCAACAGATGAGCTGGCGGAGTTCAAGCCTATTTCGACTTAGTAGACACCTCGTGTCGCTGCACTTCTTTCCGTATAGCCGATGCACACCAATGTTGTGGTTGTTCAAAGGCCGTTCGGAGCTGGCGGAGCATCTTGGGGAAAAGAACAAAGCCGGCGGGAGGACTGATCGCCAATAAGGAACGCATGCACGGCCTCTCGCGCCAGCTTGCTGGTAATTGTAGTCGATTGCACATTTCCGTATTCCTGAATGAGTATTGCAGCGCATGTCTCCCTTGCCGGTGGGTTTATACGCCAGAAGGTGGAGATCCAAGGGCTGTCAGTAAGTCGGTGGATCGGTCTTCCCCAGAACATCGCCCCATGCTTTCTACTGCTATGCCATCACCAGACCGCAGAAGGGCATAGCGATAGCATCTTTGAGCACCTGCGTATTTCTCTCTTTCAAGGACAACTACTCAAGAATGAATGTATGAAGATGTAGCAGACCAGAAGAGCCGACCGGCAAACGGAATGCCGGGCCAAGACACAGACAAACGGAGCAAACAGCCGTGACTCAATCTTTTCGCTTTGCATCCAACTTCGCCCTTCCTCGACTCTCCAGTCGATCTTCACTAACCGGAGTCAAATCCCCGGTTTTATGGTGACAGAGAGGTCCTGATGGCGTCGACTTCCGCGAAAGAATCGAGTGGTGTTGTTCAGCAGCCAATTGAGCTGTCGACGTCGGGAACCATGAACGAGAACTATGGACCTAACCAGTGCGGTTCGGAGAATATAGTATCCAATACACAAGATCTAGAAAGGGTTCCCCCACAGGGTCTCCAGTCCGAATCTGGAACACCTGAACCTCGCAGTAACTGGAAGGTCTTTGCAACTATGCTCGCTCTTTCGGTGTGTTTTCTCTTTACCCAATAAGTCTTCAACCTGCTTATAAGAAGTAGCTTGCGCTCTTCATTTCCGCACTGGATCAGACCATTGTGGCTACTGCTACACCAACGATCTCGGCCGATCTGCATTCAGCATCCGGATATGTATGGATCGGTGGTGCTTATCTCCTCGCGAATGCCGCCAGTTCCAATATCTGGGCTAATCTGTCTGATATCTGGGGGCGGAAGCCTATCCTTCTCTCAGCCGTTGCTCTATTCTTTGTAGCATCGATAATCTGCGCTAAAGCAAATGGTATGCCCATGCTGATTACCGGCCGTGGCATACAAGGTATAGCTGGTGGTGGTCTCATCCAGCTGATCACAATCACCATTTCTGACTTGTTCAGCGTCAGGTATTATTGCCTAACAACTTTCCATTTTGGTATATAGCTGACATGGAAATAGACTGCGCAGTCTGTTCCTCGGATTGATCGAATTCATCTGGGCAATTGCTGGCGCTTTAGGGCCGATCGTGGGTGGAGCTTTCACCCAATCTGTTTCATGGAGGTGGATTTTCTGGATCAATCTTCCCGTCTGTGGAACAGCCTTTGTGCTGCTCTATGTTTTCCTGGATATACACAATCCACGAACCCCGGTCCTGGCCGGAATCAGAGCCGTGGATTGGTGGGGGAGCTTCTCTATGCTCGCACTCATCATCCTACTGCTACTGGGCCTGGACTTTGGCGGCGCCACATTCCCCTGGGGCTCCCCCAAGGTGATCTGTCTTATTGTCTTTGGCTGTCTGATGTCGTTTGCCTTCATCTACAGTGAAAAGAAGCTGGCGAGGTACCCCCTTATGCCACTTGGGGTATTCAGGAACCGGTCCAACGTCGCCTGCTTCTTGGTCGACTTCACACATGGCTTTGTACGACCTTGCACCAACCTCATCATATCATCACGCTGCTAACACTCCACACCAGGCCTACCTCGGCGCAGAGTACTACCTCCCGCTCTACTTCCAATCCGCTAAAGAATCCACCCCATTCCGCTCCGGAGTTCTGATCCTCCCCTTCGTCCTAACCGAAGCAGCATTCAGTCTCTTCTCCGGCCTCCTCATCCACCGAACCGGCCGGTACCTCGAAATCATCTGGGCCGGCACCGCCCTCGTAGTCCTTGGAACGGGCCTCTTCACCAACTACAGCGCCACCTCCTCCCTCGGTAAAATAGTCGGCTACCAAATCACCGCCGGCATGGGATGCGGAATGCTCTTCTTCCCACCTCTCCTCGCCCTCCAAAGCAACATCTCCCAAGCCAACACCGCCAGCGCAACTGCCACCTTCGGCTTCATCCGCAACGTCGCAATGGCCATGTCCGTAGTCCTCGGGGGTGTTGTGTTCCAGAACAGCATGGACATGCGACAAGACGGTCTCAAGGCAGCGGGACTGTCCTCGTCGCTATTGGCTGAGTTCTCCGGCACGGAGGCGGCAGCTAATGTCAATGCTGTCCGCGCGGTTCAGGATCCGACCCAGCGACACGCTGTGGCTGATGCCTATGCGTGGAGTCTTCGTAATATGTGGATAATGTATGCTTGTCTGGCGGCTTGTGGTTTTGTTGCTAGTGTGTTTATCACTCGTCAGCATCTTAGCGAAGAGCATGTGGAGACAAAGACGGGGTTGAAGGAGAAGCAACCCGTGTCGGAACAATAGGCCGTTTCTTAGAAAGGAGTGCTATGTAGTTTCGTGGCTTGTTAGTCAGGATATTATCTATCTGGCAACCAACAGCTATTGTCTTGGGATAATGTCTAAAAGTTCATGCTTTTTTCAATCTATATACCATACAAGATACTGTGTTTTTGGAAATTACAATACAAGTTCATGTACATACATACAAGAATGTTCAATCACTGCGCATTCATTGGACTAATTCTCTAGAAAACATTACACCCGAACAGTGCTATATGAATCTTCTTATATATTAATATAGTGTTTGCATGATGCTTTTGCAGGCATATCTTCGTCTAAATATTTACACAATATATACAGAATTAAAACCAATTATATGATTAACCGAGCATCAACCATGCCATCAACCCTACCCATCCTCCAGCAAAAACAACTGTCACGATGCCCGCTCCCGCACGGTCTCCCGTGGTAATCGTGCTGAGGATCGTCTTGTCATCGGAGCTGTCATCGGTTCCGGCCGATGGATTGCTGGTGCTGTTGCCTCCCGTGCTGGAGGTCAACGGTGCAGCCGAGGAGTTGGAGAAGGCGATCATATTCGACGAGAAGACGCTGGTAACGCTCATCTGTTCCTCGAGACCGCTCCAGCCATCCCAAGTACTGTTCCACCATCGCACACCGCAGGTATTGTTACCATAACCGGTGCAAGTTGCGGCAGCGCCCTGGGCAGATCCCTGCAGCTTGGGCAGGATTCTATCGTAGGTGGATGGAACCAGTAAGGCTGTGTAGGCGAGCCAGGCAGACACCAGGCCCTTGAAGATGATTTCGTTGTCGTTGCACACCTCGGTCGGTTCGCATAGAATCTCCGTCAGGATTTCACCGCCGTGGCTTGCGGGGAAGAACTTGTTCAAGGTGCGATTCAACAGGCCATCGACAGCGTTCATCCATTTGGTGCTGGTACCGTTGGTCTGTGATAGGTTAGGAGTTGATCGTCTCTCAATGCGGTGGGTCCACCTACGTAATTGTACATGTATGCGGCTCCTCCTAGGTAGGCGCCGTAGTTATAGCTCCACTGGTTATCGCCCTGGGTGCTGCAGTCGTTTGTGGTTGACGTCGAGTCTGCGACGTTCCAGGTTGAGTTGCTCAACAGTGGCGTCGTGACCGACCAGTCCCAGATGCGCTCTGCCCAGTCATAGTAGGTCTGGTTGCTAGTATAGCGCGCCAGACGAGCCGATAATTGAAACAGACCACCGTTGGAAATGGCGTTCTTCATGGTATAACCGGATTCGTAGGTATAAATCTGCCACCGCATACCCCCGTTGCAGGTAGAATTATCCCAGCGGGCGACCTGGGTGTTGAAAACACCCTGTGCTAGAGAAAGCCAGGAGTACCCATCGCTAGAGTCGGGAAAGTTCAGTTCAGCACCAGTCATAGCGGCCAAGCCCCAGAACATTTGATCGTCATTTCCCTGAAATCCTCAATTAGTAGGGGAAAGGGGCTGCCATAAGCGAGGAACTCACAATGTAGCTACTCCAGTTCGCCGGCATGTAGTCACAATCGCCCGCCTGCCACTGCATGCCCTGGATGACTTCCTTGTTGTAGGTGGAATCCCCCGTGTAGTGATAGTATTGCATGAGTGTCATGAACATGGCGCCACCTTCCCACCAAGTGTTGGGGATCTTGCCCGGGATTTCGCCGGACTCGTTTCCTTTGTAGTGCTTCATCATGCCGTAGGCGGCGATTGATGCTGCATTTTTGATCGAATCTGAATAAAGCTGTTAGGTTCACCTGCATTTGAGTTGCGGGAAATGGGCCATGAACCATATCAGGCCCGATTAGCAACTACAGCTTCAGAACCACCTACCCTCGCTGCTGATATCAAGACTGATACCTTGGACCCCAAATACCGCCAGGGCCAGGACCAGCACACATCTTAGCCACTGATTCCCCGCCATTGGAAGGAAGATCACGACGGCGCAATCACAGGATATCGATACAAGATAAGGAACGGAAATCCGAAAACGAACAGGAGGCAAAGACTAGCGAACTGGGCAAGGCATTTCAACGCCTTTGACTGGATCGGCACTGGCGGGCAAAGAGTTCACCTTATGAGATTGAACTGGCGCCAACAGAAAAGTGACTGCCTAAGCCGGAGTCGTCACCCACCGCACCAGCGTACGTCAACCAACAAGCTGCCATTTCTTGTCCGAATAATTTTTCCATGCCTTAAGTCCGAACTCAATCCAGCTACGGCTAGCTCGAAATTCTTTTTCCGGTACCTGATGCGTCACACTATTGACCCAAGAAACACAAGCAGACCAAAATCCCGATGATGGCCTGGTTTCAGTATTGTGTTTCCAGACTATCATTTGATAGCTGATGAGGATACTCATTTTGATTGCATAATTCAAGTGGGAGAATCCACTCTTTTCCAACAGAGCATTGGACAAGATCGCGCCGAGAAAGATGCCCAGACGAACTGGCATCCAAAATCCAAACTACTGACGAGTCTCTGTGGAGCCGAAGCGAAGCGCGATAACGCTTCCAGACCGGGAGATTCCACTGCCGATCCACTCCTGTGAAGTCGGTTTTACTCGTCGCTTTTTTGGCTTTCTGCCAGCCCCGATGGATCGCCCCGATTAGTCAGAGGCTTAGCCTCACGTGGCAGTCCATTCGCTGACTCAGCCGGTTCTGCACGTCCGAAGGAGCTGAAGAATCCTGGCAAAATATTAACGGGCTCAAAGCATCAATGGTAGAGCAGTTGATGGCTTCGCTATCGCTGTTGTCGGAGAAGAATCAATGTGTGTCAAGTGATAGTGGAGACCTCCAGTTTCATTTCTTCACCTGCCTTTATCAGTTGACTGACCATAAGTACTAGTACTATTCAGCTTAGGTTTATCCCCAAATATATACTCANAACTAAACCGTGACGATGCAGTGCGTGTAGTACCCAATATCCGACATCCGTCACTCACTTGATGTGATTATCACNTGCATCGCTCTGATTTCAATTGATTCACTGTAAAAAGACTCAGTGGCATTATGAGGCACATTGATGGCATTGTATAAGCGAACCCAAAGAGGTGAAGACAGACGGAAGAAAAAGAGGAAGGTAGAGGAACCCGATCACCTGACCTTATAGATAGATCACTTTTGGGAGTGACCAACCATTGAAGACCGGGACATTCCAAAATAAATGCGGTCGTTAAATGACACTTGTTAAGCATTTAAAGGCCCGTCATCCCTTGCATTGCGACCCGCAACTCAATATGCGAGAATGCAAGTGACGGGCCCGGAAAGTGTGCTAAACTTCCGGTAAGGAGGAAGAACTAAGTACCCAAAAATAAACATGCCCAGAACAAGAATTGGGATGCCCAAGAACCACACATGATGTTATCAACAGTAGGAGAATCTTCTATAGCAGATAAACGTTGCTCTGATCCTCTTCTCCAACTCAATCAATCTGACGTCGGCCCCTTCCGACCGCCGATCTTAGCGCCGATAATGACGGCGACTCCCGATGCCCTCTGGGGTAGATAACAAATCATCACCCCATCACCTCAATTCATCCCTTCTCCTCTCATTCCCATTTATCAAACACTCAATCATCTATCCGGGCAGGTCCCCTAACTTCAATCCTTCTTCCAATCTGTACATTACTTTCTTTGCGAATAACCGGAAAGTTATATACTGCCAATACAACAATGCCTCCACCGACCCTCACTACCACACCACTGCTCAACCTCACCCCCGCTCCCCTCACCCCAGAGGCCTTCTCCGACTTCGGCACAGCAATAACATCCCCCTTAGCTCGCAACATCACCACTCCTCCACCAGAGAGTACCTTGAAGACGCTATCTCCCGTCCCCGTCCTCGCCAATCAATCCTCCGCTCTGAAGTACAGCCCGATCGGGCCAATGACAGATGCTTACTCAACCGCTCCGAGCGGCCAGCCCTCTTCCGCCCGCATGACTATGTTTTCGTGCTTTCCGCGCAAACTACGCACTGTCGCCCATAAGAATGTGAATGTATTTGACGTGCGCATTCTGGAAAGACACCCCTTCACTACGCAGACTTTCACCCCAATTGACTTGTCGAGTCAGGTGAAGACGATAGGCGCGGGAGGCGAGGTGGAAGAGGAACCGTTTTATTTGGTTGTTGTGGCGCCGTCGTTGAAGGGCACTACAGCTACTGCGAGGACGGATGAAGGGGAGACTGTGAGCGTGGTAGATCCGCCGGATCTGAGTCGCTTGAGGGCTTTTGTCGCTAGGGGTGGTCAGGCTGTTACGTATGGGGCTGGGACGTGGCATGCGCCTATGGTGGTTATTGGGAAGAGGAGGGTGGATTTCGTGGTGGTGCAGTTTATAAATGGGGTTGGGGATGAGGATTGTCAGGAGGTGAGATTTGGGGAGGGGATCGCTGTGGAGGTTTCGGGTGAGGGGACGAAGAAGGCTTTGGCGAAGCTTTGAGAACGCTTATGGCAAGGGTTGGAGCTCTTGCGGGGGATATGGTTCATTGTACCTTCTTATCAAAATGGCTAATGTACATAGCATTGTGAATGATTTATGAGGCTACTGATGGTATGGACAGCTTCACGCTCCATTCGCTGTATGTTTTGGTGCCGAATTTTCATCCCAATGTGGGCTGTCGTTGTGGTTGGCGAATCGCTGACGCACGTTCTTTGCCATTTCAATGGCCTCCCTGGGTAGTCCAGCCAACTGGGCGACTTTCAAAGCATGCGACTCGCGGTTCACACCTTTCCGTAGTCGATGAATAAATGAGAATGATCCAGAGGCGGATTCTTTGACATCGGTGCAGTATCTGCCGAGAGCGTCAAAGTCGTGGGTCATATCGGCAAGGACATGGAAGTGAGTCGCAAACAGTGTCCGGCATTTGTTGTGGTAATGCAAGTGATGCAAGCATGCAAAACTAACGGCAGTTCCGTCTTCTGGCGTGGTCCCACGCCCGACCTCATCCATGATGACAAACGAGCGTGAGGTCGCTTGTTTGAGAATAGCTGCTGTTTCCAACATCTCGACCATGAATGTGGACTGGTCTCGGAACAGATCATCAGCGGCCCCAATGCGACTGAAGATCTGGTCAACCAAGCCAATCTCTGCATACGCTGCAGGGACAAATGAGCCGACCTGGGCCAGGATTGTGATCAGTGCGTTCTGTCGCAGAAAAGTGCTTTTACCTGCCATATTGGGTCCGGTCACAAGCCAGATACGCTCTGGGCCTCCGAGAAAGCAATCGTTGCTGACAAACCGTCGCCCTTGTTCCTCGAGCCCAAGCTTGACTGTGGGATGGCGTCCGCCTACAATCTTGTGGCTTTTATCTTCGTTGAGGATTGGGCGCACTAGTTGCTGTTCCTGAGCCAAAGTGGCAAACGAGCACGCGACATCTAGTTCATCCATAACGGCCGCATTGCGTCGAATCTTGACAAGGTTAAGGATAACCTCCCTACGCAAATGCTCAAAGATAACTTGTTCTTCTTGACGGATTTGAGTTTTCACTTGGTCCATCTGGCCGCCTAGTTCCGTCCAAGCAGGTAGGTAGAACGACCTCGTTGACTTAGTGGACGAGACATTCCGTGTTACTCCAAGTTCTTCCAATGATTCTTGGGTAATCCTAGCCCCCTTGACATGGCATATGTGACCCAATCCCGGAGTCCACTTGAGTGTTAACGCAGATGAGCCCACCGACTCGCGAAGACGCTGTGTTAGCTCCGATTTTGCAGTATGTAATTGCTCTAGATCCTGATGGAGTTCACTTAGAGCCGGGCTTGCATCTCGCCTCATGATCCAGGTATCGGCAATCGTCCCCTCATCCGTAGATGCGCTAGACCGATCACTGCTTTTCGTCTTGACTTTTTTTGGTAGTGCGGCCATGTCCTCTGGGATACCCTCATTCAGAGTGACAGACTGTGCTAGAAGTGCTGCCTCTGCAGCTGTGTCGTCCTCAATGCGTTGCTTCTGCAGCAGTCCTTCCTCGTCAATTGCTGTCAGTATTTTGTCAGCTAAGACTGTAGGCCCATCCATGTGGATTCGGTCGACCATAATTCCAATGCTGCGCTTGGTTTGACTGTCAGCCTCGCTATGCCACTTTCGTGATAAAACCTGTCGGATTTCCTTGGAGGCTTCAATTGCCCTCGAAAGGCAGATTAGATCATCAGGGTCACCCCGACCAAGTGTAAATTTCTGTACTAGACGTTGGGCATCATAGCTGCGTTTTAGAAACTGGATGACATTGTCATGCAGATCGCGGTCTTCGATGAATATGGAAACAAGGTCAAGCCGTTCGTTGATTACCGATAAAGAGGTGGAAGGCGATGCTGCCACAATGTTAGATTATAGAAACCAAGGGAGGTTATTAGGCATACTAAGACGGTCTCTCAGCAAACGTGCTCCACTCTTGGTAGAAGTTCGCCGCACGGCATGAAGAAGGCTTCCTTTCCCAAAGCCATCACGGGCAGTTTCCAATATTTCTAGACCTCTTAAACTATTTCGGTCGATACTCATCGACTCGTCTAAATGTCGGCGACGAGGAGGCTGAAGCTTCATATTCAAGCCTTGCAGCTGTACCCGGATGTACTCCAAGAGACTATACCCGGCGGCGACCTCTTCACGCGTGAAGGTTTCTGCGGCGGCGTCTGACACAGGGGCTTCAAGCATAGCTTCCCATCGGGCCATGGGCGCAACCTTTTTCGGAAATTGGAAGAAAGTCATTAATCGTTGGTCGTGTCCAATCAATAACTGCAGCTCCTGCCCGATTACATCCTGAAGACCTTGGTCTACAAGTATCTCCCGGGCGCCAATCCTGGCGATAGCAGACGGCAGCATCTGTGCTGTAGTTACTTGCGTGAAGAAGTCGCCTGTGGACAGGTCCAACCAGGACAAGCCTACATTCTGGGACGCGGATAAAAGAACATGTTGTTGCGAGGATGAGGCATCCT